ATCTTTTAAATGTTCATTTCAATGGGTTTGATTATCTATTCAAATTGTTGAAACATTATCATGAAAATTTCATTTGTTTGTAATTGTTTCATTAGGAAAAGTCATTTCCTTTCAGGTTTCATCATCATCATTTCATTTTCACACTGGACTTTGGTCAAGCAAAAATAATTTCAAATGTAAATCTCAAATTTGATCATTGATAAGCTTTCATGATGATGAATGATTATTCAGTTCAATTGAATGATTTCACCGATAAACTTAATAGTTATATAGACATTGACAACTGATTCATTATCATGATCATTTGGAAGATGATAAAATTCAATTGATCATCAAATGAATTCACAACAACAATAAACAAGACTGTTGAAATTTTCTCAATGCTAGTAGATGAAAATTCATTCAGGATAATTTACCCTGAGAAATACTCATGAACCTAATGAGATTATATATACATTGAGAAAAGGCTTTTATTCACAATTGAAAGTAATCATCATAATCTTAATCAACATGATGATAAAACTCAAACCTATTCATTATAATCAAATGAATGAATTATCGTTCTGATTAAGATGATGTATTTTTTTCCAGGTGAAGTTTTCATCATCTCATTTTTCACTCTCACGATCATGATAACAAATCAGGGTGAGTGAGTTCTCGGTGAAAACCTTAGGATTTATTTTATTACCTTGGCATAAGAGATGGAGGAAAAAAAAACGATCACAAAAGTAACATGGGAAAAAAAAGTTCTAGTCAATAATTTGATTGATTTAACATTTTGCTTAGATGATTATTAGAGTACAATGTATTCATTTGTAGATGATAATTCATATGGAAAATGATGATAATATTTACAGATGAAAACTTGACATTGACAAGATAACTTTATAAATACATTGAGTAAGAACTTTTTTTTTCTTCATATTTATCGTTCATCCTTCATGATTTACTGATTAATCATCATGGATAAGATAACTTATCAACTCCTTTATAATAATAAGCTAATCGATCAACTAATCAATCATTAAATCATCATAGTGATGGCGATGATTAAGTTGATAGAAGATTAAGGTTAAAGAGAACTCTCTCTCTCTCTCTCTCTCTCTCTCTCTCTCTCTCGTTCTTTCTTTCTTATCACCATGATTAGGACTTAATCTGATCTCCAGAATTTCAGCTTATTCCTTGAGAATTTATTTGTTTCTTTCATTAACTTCATCTAATCAGAAAGTCGTCCTCAACTAATTAGAAATATATTTTCACACTGATTCCTTTCCACCTTGATAATAATCAGAGTAACCAGATTAACATTCATATACAGAATTTGCATCACTCTCAGTTTTGTAGAGGGAAATTCTGACTAAACAATTGAATTGAATATAAATATATAATTCATATACCATTGAAATGGTGAATTTTGAAAAATGGGAACAGATTTAATCTGTCAACTTGAGAAATGCTAACATTTTATATTCACCATGATGAGAATACTTTGGGAAAACTAATGATAACCATAAATACTGAAGAAATAGAGATTTTTTCATAATATTCATGATAATGGTGATAATAAAAAAACAATATTCAAACAGATATATATACCTTTTAATATATATCCAATATCGTCTAAGGTAAATGCTGCAATTGGAAATGTTTCTCTCAACAAAAAAACAAACCCATTTTGAATATGATATTATACAAGATTCAGTTTATGTTTTATTCCCATTTCCATATAATTATTTATTCAGCATTGGAAATGTGAACATACATGTTTAACATTCACCTTGGCAGGTAAAGTGCTTTTTTTGCCTGTGAAAAAAAATATGCAATAGATACTTTTTTTTTCACCCTAGTGAAATCCTTCAGAGGGTATTCATGTTAAAGGTTAACCTTGATAGTTGTAGTTGGGTGGGTGGGTTACATTGACATTTATCTTGTCATTGAACTTTGAATACCCACCTCGGTGTTCAAACCACAATAATCATCATTGTAACATTTCCCTTGGAAGGAGAGAGAAGAGAAAAGAAAAAAAAATCGATTGAAATTTTTGCTTTTGTTTCTTTTTCCTTCCTGAGAAGATCAAATGAGAGACAAAGTGTATATATAAAGTATATGACCATTGGTCAGTATTTCTCTTCACAGTTATCAGAATCAAAGTCAGAACTTTTTTTTTCTCGAAAAAAAAATTCCATTAGAATAATTTTATTCCTCCTACCTTAACATGCGAGGTCAATGTATATCTTAATGCCTGATGATGACTGGACAATTGATAATTATCTGATTGATTGAATTATTTATTATTATTATCATGTTCAACTTATTGGACCAATCAACTGACCATTAAAGTTATAAATCAATATGTTTCAAGTTCAAGTATCCTAACATGATGTACCCTGAATATTAGTGTAGGCGATGTTGAATCAAATGATAATGATGATAAAAAAAAACTCATCAGACTGAATGATAATTCAATGGCGGAAATAATGACTTCCTTAATCAATTTAATCATCATCATCATCAGTGAAAACATCACCAGATTGGTCAGTCTTGTGTCCATTATAAATGTTACATAGGAGAGAAAGAAAAAAAAAGAAAACGAAAAAAAAATTTCTTCACAATTCAGAGTTAACATAATATATTATTGATTGGTATTCATTGGTTATCATGATATTACTTGGAATCACTTGTTTGTTCAGAATCATATTATTCTGGTTCACTGAAATCTTCATTCAATCATCATGATCAACAGAAGAAGAAAAAAATTTTAGTACAATTGAAAATCTTTGAAAAAGATGAGCATGATAACCATGATTAGGAATAAGAGGAGATAAAAATAGATGAGTTTCCTTTGGAACTTTTTTTCAACATTGTTCTCTCTCTCTCTCTCTTTCTTTCTGGAAGATTTTGAAATTTTCCATGCATAGATCCTGAGATGACCACGATAATAATCATGGTGAAGATTATTACTTACTCTGAATACTTATCATGATGAGAATCTGATGGTTACCTTCAAGTTGGTGATAATATTTTCTGTTTGTATTCAGAAGGAAAAATATTATTGTTACTATTGTTATGGATCATGAGTGTGTGTGTGTGGATTGACATTGATTGATTTCCATGTTATGAACCATGAAGAAAGTTCTGAATAATTTGGTTGGAAAATGAAAAAGAAGTTGTTACAAGAAAAAGAATCATTTTTTTTTCTTTCTCTCTCATTCATTCTTGTAGATAATTTATTCTGGATTACATGTCAATACATGATGGAATCACAAGATTTCATACCTTGATCATCACCATGATAATCACAAGATTAACCTGAAAATCTATCAGATAACATGACTAAAGATACCAAGTGACAATATTTCTGGTTAATGTTGTGATTGGATTGAAGAAAAATGAACAATTTTAAAGAAATGATTTCATTCATTAATCATGAGTTCTGAATAAAATGCTAATAGATCATGTAAATGAAACAATTGATTGATAACAAGTTTGTTTCATGATCAGTCATTATAATTTGGAAAAGGTGACAAATGAAATGTTATCATGGAGTTAAAACTTTTCAATGCTCTCAAAATAAAGCTCTGAATCGTTACAGACATGATTCTGAATAGAGATAATCTGAATATAATGAGTTCGTCATACTGATGAATAATCATCAGTATCACAATATTATCAGTAAATCGGTCTAGAAATTCAGCAGAGAATTGGTTTCATCTGGAATTCAGGTACAAATATAATAACATGGTGATACTTTTCATGATAAGAAGGAAAAAAACTGAATAAAGAACAAAAAAAGTTCTAATCAAGTCAAAATCAATTCAGAGAAAAATAAATAAATTTTCATAACATAATAATAACAGCTCAGGAATCTAATGTTCAGGCAACTTCTCCACCCTGAAGTCACCCTCCCTCTCTCAATTCTCATGGGTATTCTTATCCCACCCAATCCCCACACCACCCACTATGATGACAAACAAAAGGTAATAAAAAGCAATATCATCAAAATGATTGTCATCATCTGTTATCATTATTTTCATCACTTTTATTGTTGATAAGTTTTCACCTTAATATTGAACTGAATCAGTTGATTGTTATTTCATTCACAGAGTGATAATGAAAAGTTTTTAATGATAATTATATAAATACAATCACATGAATTGGATAACAGTGATTATAAATTGTAACAGTTGATTGTCATCAAAGTGATGTTATTATTATTATCATGATCATGGTGTCTCCAGTTGGATAATGATGATGATTTTTAATGATGTACGATAATAAATCTTGAACAATTTAACATCACTCTTGTGTCCAAGTCCTTAATTGTTGGTTAAATTTATTTTTCTAATATGTATTTTCTTGTTTATATCAACAATACCTGGGAATTTAAAATCATGTTGATTTTATTAAACAGGGAGTGGAAAAGGAGGAGGAGGAGGAGGTAAAGGGCGGTGGGTTAACCCACCACCTAAATCATGTCACTCGGTGTGTAACTACAATCGTTTCCTTTGAGTCTCAAATTTCATGGTAGATTCAGTTGAGCTGTTGATGGATTTTTTTAATATGTACAATCAACTTTAAACGTGATATGAGTTGATAATCATTTTAGATTAATGTTCATTTATGATTCAGTTTACACCATGAAAATTTTGCTCTCTTCTTTCATGGTAAATTCATTTATATACAAATACATATAAATATCTATATTATCGTCTGTAGTTATTACTGTTGTGTTTAAGTTAATGTTTTCAAATTGAATTGAATTAAATATTCATCATCACCATGAGCATAATAATATAACCATCATGATGATGAACAAAATGTTTCCAATTTTATTAAATCATTGGATTGACTCTCAATTAGTAACAACTTTTTCTCTCCAGCTTTTTATATTCTAAAGCCGATTTTTTTTTCTATCAAAATCTTATTAGAAAAGAAAACTTTCCAAACTTTTAAAATTCTCAATTGTAATTTACTTTTTTCTATCCTTTCATTTTCTCCAGGTAACAACAACAATCAAATAGGATCCTCATGTTATCAAGCCACTTGATCAGCTTAATTATTGCCCAAATGATTGAGTAATTAGTTGATTAGTTACAAGAAGAAACAAAGAAAAACAAAACTCAATTTCAAAGAAAAAGAGAGAGAGAAAAAAGTTCTAACTGAAATAATTTCTCTCCCACAGAAAGTTACCTGTTGATATATAACATGTTACAGTAGATGGCTATGAGAAACATCAACAATCAACAATCAACCCAACAACAACTCCAACAACACCACCACCACCACCACCACCACCAACAACAACAACAACAACAACCAAGAACCAGCAACAACAGAAACATTAATATGACTTTTCCTAATGTAATATAAATACAAGATATTATTAATATATAAATATAAGATAAATATAAACACTTACCTGTTGGTGGGTATTCAATCAACTTGAAATAAAAGCATACCCACCATTAGAATCATCAGAAATATAGCAAAACCCATTACAAATCCATTATAAAGGGAGAAAAAGTAAAATATTATAAAAATATATAAGAAAAGAGGAATCGAAAAAAAAAAATTGGAAAAAGACTAGAGTAGAGGTGGAGTAGAAAAGGTTGAGACTGAACTTTTCATAAGATATTGATTCAATTACACCCACTTCCTGCCTTCTATTATCCTGAAATTAGATGTGAATACACCCTGAATATGAGATTTCAAGTTATTCAGCTTCAATCAGGATCATCGTCATCATCATCATTTCCATGATGATGGTTAAAACTGTTTCTGGAGAAGAGGAAAAAAGTTTCATTAACCATTAGACTAAAAATTTATCAACAATTAAAACTTTTTAAATCGTTGTAACAATTAACCAGAAAGAAACGAGAAGGAGGAAAAGTGAATATAAAAATTCAACGATAAACTAACTGGACATTCACTTGTGGTCAGTTTTTCAATGCCTGCGAGGAAAGGACTTTTAGCTCCACAAAATACTTTCCTTGATACAATAGCAACTCGATTTGATGGAACTCGTAAGTACCACACCCAATGGTCAATTATCTAAATACCTTAACCATTGATTATCCATTTAATAGCTATAAACGATTCTGAATTCACTGAATTTTTTATATAACCAGAACTTTTTGCTTTTTTCTTACATATGAAATATCAAAAAAAAACGAAACTAAGTAAAGCAAAATAATAATAATATAAATACACTACATCATCATGATGAGAGAGTTACTCTTGTTGTTCAGTCAAGATTGAATCATTTTTGGGTAATATCTGTGTGTTTACCCTGAGGGCAATTCTCATCAAATTAATATGATTACATTGAGTTTTCATGGGATAAGATGGGAAAATAATAACTCTACTTTTCTGACTAGTGAAACAAACATATTATATTGATATAGTAAACTTATTATTATGTCATTAATAATGATGATAATCATATTGAGGTTATGATTATTATGATTACTATTATATAAAACTAGAGTTATCATCATCATGGATCATGATGATATCATTATTACAACTGAATGGTTGGGATTGTAAAACTAATTGTTTAATCATATTAATCAAGTAACAGGAATGAAAACTCAACTTTTTTTTTATGCTCAACAAGAAAAAAAAATAATATTATTATTATTATTGAATTTATCATGGAAACCAATTGGATATTCATTGAATGTAATAATCCTAATTACATGGAATTGAAATCATCAAGATTAATTTAGGATTAATGTATTTATCATCTATTTGGTATTGAATCATGAAAATGTTTACAAAGTTATCTCAGATTATCATGAATATTTTGTTGAGTGTTATTTTTTTTTGTTGTTTACTGTACAATAAATGATTACATATATTGACATTGAAGTGACACTTTTATTATTTGTTTGCATATCTGGTTTATCCTCTTCATCCCATGAGACAATATCCATCATCAGAATTATTCAGTTGACAAAATAGTTTTTCAATTCGTCAAAATGAAAGTTCAAGTTAACATGTTCAGGGTTATCCTTTTCATTTCATCCAATCTAAATTGATCATCACCAGAACTGGAAATAAGACACAATCAGGGGAGAGAGAGAGAGAGATGAAATTCACCTTGAGAAATTTTCTTTTGTCTATGAGAAATCACATGATGTATCATGAAAGATTTTCCCACTGAGAGCTAAGAATTATTCACAATTCTCAGTTTTATTTAATAGCCTCTGGTCTTATTTGGAATTCAATATAAAAAAAGGAAGAAAAAGTTTCTTTATTTTTCCATTTCCATCAATTGTTGATAGAATCAAATTGCGTCTGATCGATCATTCAAGATTCTTTGATGTTTAGTTATCTTTTTATGCTAAGATCATCATGTAAATTCAATAGTAAATGAACAGACACACACAGTCACTCACATGGAGAGATAAAGAAGGCAACAAAAGTTACAGGGTGGATAAGGAGAAAATCAGTGAATCAGGTTGGAGTTTATGAGGGAAATGAGTTATTGATTGATTTCTTAGGATAAACTTTATGATATTCAGAATCCAGGGGGAAAAAAGGTATTCAGAGCTGATATTCTGGTGATGTTGATAATGATGATGAAGATATACCATGAATATATATAAATGCTTACAGGATTGAAATGATGATGATTATGAGTATTATTATATAGATTAGTGGGTGGAAACATGAAGAATCCATTTTTCACCCTGGTGGAAATGCTGTCTCATGTGACTGGAAGACATAATGTAGATAATTATTATGAATCATTTTGAATAATTTCCCATAATCTGGATTCTTTCAGAATCAACATCATCAGCATTTCTCATCATCTAACACAGAATTCACCTTTCTGATTGCAGTTTATTAGAACTTTTTCCCTGGAATTCAGTTTATTCCAATTTTGCATGATAACACTTTTTTCTTTTTTTTTCTTTCTCACTCTTTACTCTTCATTCTTCATTCATGAGGCCTTCATGATCATCGGTTTTTGTATTTGCATCTTTTTGGAAACTTTTCCAAGTCTAAAAAGAGAAAAAAAGTTCATTACAATAACAGTTTATTTTCAATCTCTATCATGATAATTTTCATCATGGAATTGAAATCACCGAATCACGTGAGAATTTAATTTAATAAATATATTTATAAATCGTGTGTCATTTCAAGAATTACAATAATGATAATAATCAGAATAAGTCTTGACTAGTTAGCACAGTCATGGAATTGTTAGAACTTCATTTTCTCCACCCCAATCGAAGGGTGAAATTTCCATGTACTTTTGGAAAGTTATTCTAATAAAAAGTTTTTCTTTCTCTATTTTCAGATAGTAACTTTGTTCTCGGAAATGCTCAAGTCCCAAACCTTTATCCGATTGTCTACTGTTCTGATGGATTCTGTGAGCTCACCGGTTTCCCTCGGGCGCACATCATGCAAAAAGGATGTGCCTGTAGTTTCCTGTTTGGTGAGGAAACTTCCGAAGATCATAAGAAGTCAATTGACGAAGCTCTGGAAAATAAAACTGAACTTAAATTGGAAGTTCTTTTATACAAAAGAAATGGTAAGAGTAATAGTAACCTTTCACCTCTTGGACTTTTTTTCCAGATTAATTCGTATAAAAATTCAGAAATAAATTCAAGATGAGAAAAGTTTTTTGGAACTTTTTTCCTACTCTTATTTTGTATTATTATATTTCCTTAGCTATTCAACAGGGTAAAGAAAAAAAAATCAACTCGATAAACTGTTGTTTCCATAATTAATGTTTATCATTAAGTTAATTGTCATGATCAACATTAACTCACGTTCATTAATATAATCACCCTGAATGAATGAATCCATGATAATGATAATAATAATACTTATATCATAAAGTAAATAGAGTAAATTAATTCAATAATTATCACAATCAAGACAAGATATTGTTATTATTTTAGTTGTTGATTATTATGAGGACATCATTAAATGTTTGATTGTTAATTATTAGTATTTGTATTACCGAGGATGATTAGTAAATCAAATTGATAAAACGTGATCCAAATGATGAAAATAATAATCATTTCATCTAATATTTATAATCAATAATCAATAATCAAACAATTAACTGATAATAACAAGTTGAGGTTTACATTAATTGTCAGCAATCACTTTCTCAAGACATTTCAATATTTCAGTTGATTGTTGGACTCCATTTAATCACCATGATGATAACAATCATGATAATTACTCAGTACCCAGTGAAAATTTGAAACTTCACCAATGATGCTGACCATCAAATGACCTTGATATTAAAATATCACAATCGATTATCGTTACTGGAGATTTAGAATCTGAATAATCCGAAGCGAAAAGTTCAGAGCATGAGAAAAACTCTGATGAAATTCAGTGTATTTGAAACTGAATTAGAATCAAATTTAATTATAATTTATCCAGACAAAAAATTGTGAGATAATTAAACAATTTAAATAAATGTATATTAATTATTAATTACTAATCCTTTTCTGTTTGATCAGTTGATTGTCAATTAAGTTTGTATTATAACAAGGTTTCATAATGATTAATAATTAATCCAGGTTAATCCAATGGTAAAGAAGAGGGGAAAAGTTTTCTAATTACAATTTAATCTCATCAAACCATGTAAACGAGTATAAAGTTAATTATGATCATTAATTGTCTTCATGATTGAGATTATATTTTTTTTGTTAATCAGTTGGGTCCACTTGGTGTATGAGTGACCCATTTAATCAAAGTGACAATTGTGACAATTGTCATCCAATGAGATGAAAATTTGAATATGTCAACTTGATTGTAACTTAAATTGCTGTTGATCAACATCAAATCAACATCTCTCTCTCAGAGATTGATGATATTTAATTGATCATAATCAACGATTGAAACTAAATTAGCTCATTAAACATAAAGGTGTTCAATTGTCATCACATACACACAATCATCAATTGAATTAAATTAATTTATTCAGGTCACATTATAATCAGGTAATAAGCTCATGGTGATGATGATAATCAGGGTGAGCATTGTGTTAGAGTATTAATTGAATTGAATCCACCAAATGATAATGATTGATGATGATAATAAGTAAACACAATTGACTTAATTATCTTATACGAGATAAATACATAAATAATCAAATGGATTTACTATCAATGTATTTAACTGTAGTTTTGTGTGATGAAAATTTCATCATCTTCTAGTGATGATAATGATTAAATCAACATGATTGAATTTGCGATGATAAATTAATCAATACTATTGACTATTATTCAACAATTAACTGTTCAATCAATAGACAAAACTTTCAATCAGCTAGTTCAATGTTTCGTCTCATCAAATTGAAACGTTTACTTTTAATCATCTTCCAGATTAATTACAATCTAAATTAATGAGAAAACAAAAACTAAACAGGCACAAATTAACTCATTGATTTACTTGGTTAATTGTTGAGTAATAACATTGATAAGCTAAATTGTCAACAATTTACCCATTTTTTTGGTACATTGAGTTAAGCTAAATGTTAGATTGTTTCTGATTTCGGTTGGATTAACTGATCTGTTGAACATGATTAGTTAATTAAGTTCTTAATTTTTCTTATTTTCCTCTTGTCAACAATTAACTAATTAACGGAAAATAACCTTCAGGTTTACCCTTTTGGTGTCTACTGGACATTGTACCAATTAAGAATGAGAAACACGAGGTTGTCCTGTTTTTAGCTTCTCATAAAGATGTCACCAAATCAAAGATGGACGAAGAAGAGGAAGACAACAAATCATCACCGGATATTGATAGAGATGATGAAGATGAAGATGATTATGATGATGATCACCATCCTCGTCTTCCAGCCAGTCATTATCAGCGTAGACGGAGTCGAGCAGTTTTATATCAGCTCTCAGGTCACTATCGTCGTAGTGTCAGCATGAAATCAAAGTTAAAGTTAAATAATGTAAGTAAATGTAAACAATCAATTTCCAATCGTTGATTAACTGTAACGATCATTTTTCAGACTTTAATCAAAATGGTTCAAAATTTAGGTGATTAAAGTAATAACAGTAAATGCGAGCTTCATTAATCTGATGAAAGAAGCGATTAAACTAAAAGTAATTGTAATTACAATTTGAGAATCAATTGAGTGGATAAAATAGATTAAAATTAAGAGACGAAAAAGTGAAATTCCAATAATATTTAAATTCGAGAAGAAGGAGGAAACAAGTTCGATGCTTTAGAACTTTTTCCTTTGAACGATAAGTGATTAAGGATTATCTCACATTCCAAGAGGTGATAACTCAACTATCTATTCACCAAAGAGAGAATGAGAATAAACTGAACCTGGAACATAATCAACTAATTATCTCTTTCGATAGTTGGATGAACTTTGAGAACATAATCATCCTCATCATGACCCAATGAACTTTTTCTTTCACCTTTCAACCCTCTCTCTCTCTCTCTCAGAATCTATTACATTCATCGTCACTTCCGGAATATAAAGCAGCGACAATTAAAAAGCCTCGATTCATATTGTCACATTATGGAACTTTGAAAACTTGCTGGGACTGGTTGATATTGATCGCGACATTTTATGTCGCCATTGTTGTTCCTTATAGCGCTTCCTTCCGGGAAAGCAACGACACTCCAGCCACGATATATACCGATGTATTTGTCGAAATTGTCTTCATCATTGGTGAGAGAATTCAGATTAATCTGTTATTCATTCAATTTCCACTTCAATCCCATGAAAAGAAATCACATTTCCCCTTCTTCCCTGTAAACCTTATTTCCATCATCATCTCATCGTATTCATATTCGTATCTCAATTGAATCTATTGTTATCGTTTTCTTATATTTTTATTTCGTCAATTTGAACATTTCATGAAAGAAAAAAGTTTTTTTCCCAAAGAAAAGGAAAAAAATTTACCGTTATTATTACTTTTTCATGAGTATCATTAGTTTATATCCTCACATTCCCAATGTTCCCATTTTATATTATCACCATAAATATATAAACTATCGAGAGTGATAAAAGGTTGATAAAAAAGTTCTGATCATAATCATAAATACATATTTGGTTAATGTGATTAGTTGATTGTTTAATGTAATTGTCTTTTGATTTTTGCCTTTTCTGCTCATTGATTTCACAATTTACTTGACAGGATAAAAATTATCTCTCTGGACAATTAATAATGATGACAATTTAATCAGTAAATCTGATGAGGTGTCTAATTTAATAATCTTGTTTTAAGTGAGACAGTTTAATTTTTATATAATAATAATATCATTTAATTTGATTGTTGTCCCTAAATCGTAATGTATTACAATTTAACATTAACCATACACATTAGATAATCAAATAATTGTAATCCAATAAATTGATTGTTGATCAAATGTCAAATTGATTGGAAATCATTTGAACAATTTAATAACAATAGAAAGAGTTAAGAGTAAGTTGTTATTAGAAGTCGAAACTTTTTTTTGCAAAATCGTTCAAGGGAAAAAAACAAATTCGAGAAACTTTTTCGTTCTAACATTATGATTTTCGAGATTCACTTTTTTTTTATCTACGACAGGGCATTTTGTCAAGTTCCCAACAAGTTTTTCTTGAATAACTTTTCGTTTTTGAGTATTCAGAGCCCAAACTCGAGTTATGGGAATTTGAGTGATACTCGATTGTCATATTTTAATATCAAGATCATTCCGGCAATTCTATTAGGATAAGGTTTCAGCAACAATCGAATGACCTTGAAGCCGTAACCTATCAGAATGACCGGAATCACCTTGATATTTAGTTGAGATAAATGGTTATCATAAGAATAAGCAAATACATAAACTTTTATCGTTTCAATGTTTGGTCAAAAATTTTATTTCGACTTGACCTGATCCAAGAAGTGATTGATTAGTCTTTTTCTGATCATATTGTGAAATTTTCTCACATTTTCTTGAGATGAACAGTTGATCATAATGACTGCCAATGATCCAATTCCCAGTAATATGATTATGATGATGTCGAGTGTCTCTGGTGGTGATATGAACAGAAACAAGGAGAGAGACTGAGAGAAGAGAGGAAAATAAATGAACGAAACAAATAAATAAAAGGAATAAGCAAAAATGAATTGATTTAAGAATCGGTGATCATTAAGAAAAACAATTAAAAATTATTCTTATTTCATCATATTTGTATTTAGATAAATGGATCTCTCAAATAAACTCACTTTCGTAAGAAAGTTTGTCCCCGCTGTTGTTATGAATTAGCCTAAAGAAAAGTAATTAAACAAAACCTAATTGTAATTAACAGTACAATCGGAGTGATTTTGATTAACTTTTTTCTCTTGTCAAGTTTGACTTGATTGTTAATTTGAATTCTACTCAATTTCAAGATTTAATTGTCTTTTTAATTTGAAAGGTTTCCAAAAGTATAAAAAAAACTTGTAAGTCTTTTTTTTCCTCCTTGTTGACAACAATTAAAGCTGATTAATTAACTAAATACAAAATCTAATTTCACTTTTTGATTCTCATTTATTTATATATTGTTGTTGAGATTGTTTCAATTATTGTGATTAACTGATTGTAACTATTTTGATGATTTGACTTTTTGTTTCCAGTTAAATACATTGATTGTGTTAACGTTTCTTTTTTTGATTTTGTCTCATGTTTATCATTTGTCACCTTTGTGTTAACAATTTAATCAATTGAATAACAATTGAATCGGTTTATTGGTTTGATTCAAATCAATTGACTGACAGATTTCATGATTCTATTCATGGTAAGATATAGTTAAAGGTTTCAAATTGATTCCACCGGTGGGAATGTTGGCAAAAATTTCATCTAAAATCATCGATTGATTGATTTAAGTGATGAAAATTTATTCACTTCAATTCAATTTAAATTCAATTCTTTATCGTTGTTAACTTTACAAAGATTAACTGACAGTGTGAGTGTTATCATTATTATGAGTTCGAGGGTCTGACCAATGGTCAACCTATCATTTCGGATAAATTGTTGTTTCAAGTTTTTAAAGTGAAAAATAATGTTGCTCATTTTTTTCTGGTTTCAAAAAGTTTTATCTCATAATCAGTAATATATTAGCTTGATAATGACCATGGTAATGACCATCATCATGTCAATCACAGTTTGTCCTCCCTGGTACACCCAAAGGTGATGTTGTTTGGATAAACTTATTTCATCTCGATTTTTATCATCATAATGTTAAGATTAAGGTGGAGGAGTGAGTCTGAAAAATGATGATGAAGATAAATAGGTAGGAGGAGAAGTGAAAGAATAGGATGATGATGATGATGAGATTCACAATATAACTTGAGATGATGATGATGATGATGATTATGTTTTCTGTGGCTAAATTGTTGTCGATCCTTTTTAATCTGACCCAATGGAAAAGAGAAAGAGAAAAAGAAAATTCTTCTTTTCATCATCATCATTATCATCATTATCTTTAACATCTCTCTCTCTCTCTCTCTTTCCTGTCTCTTACTTTTATCTTCTTCAACCAGCCTCGTGTGAATTGATGATAAACCATAAATCATGATGAAACTTTCAGACTAATCATCCTGAAAATTGTGATAAATTTCATCTCCAATGATCATCATGACTTTGAAAAAAAGGTTTCACCCTGATGATGATAACATAACTTTCTCTTATCTTCATCTTCATCTTATCTTCATTAGTATCATTCTGGAAATTTCATCTTCCACTTTCATCTCTCTGTCTGTCTCTGTTTCTATCTCTATCTCTCTCTCTCTTTCCTGTCTCTTACTTTTATCTTCTTCAACCAGCCTCGTGTGAATTGATGATAAACCATAAATCATGATGAAACTTTCAGACTAATCATCCTGAAAATTGTGATAAATTTCATCTCCAATGATCATCATGACTTTGAAAAAAAGGTTTCACCCTGATGATGATAACATAACTTTCTCTTATCTTCATCTTCATCTTATCTTCATTAGTATCATTCTGGAAATTTCATCTTCCACTTTCATCTCTCTGTCTGTCTCTGTTTCTATCTCTATCTCTCTCTTCTTATCCTTTTATACCAAACTGAATTATTGAATCATCATGAACTCAATAAGTTGAATCTGAGATGAAACAATCAGGTTTCAATTCAATATAATGAAGATAAACAATCAAAATGAACCAAAATTTCAAACGAATATCAACTTAAAGTTTAATAATGAACTCGAACCAGAGGGAAGAAAATTTTAAGAATTCGAATGAAAAAAGTTCCATAAGATTATCTCCCTCCCTCACTCACTCTCTCTCTCTCACCTTAATCTTGACAAAATCTTGGAGTTAGATTTTATTTCTTACAACTGAACAAAATTTATTTCCTCAATTCAAGTTCCACTCTACAATAAGCTTACGGTGGAAACCTAATAATATGATGTAACATAACAATCCACCTCCCACCTCCCATTTCCCACCTTCATCTTAATCATCTTTTACAATATTACATCTTAGGAAATAATATCCTCATCTTCATCCCCACTTGATATCAAATAATAAAAGATATTGTTTTCATCTTCCCTCCTTCCACCACCTCCACCCACTTATCCTCATCATCATCATTACTTCATCCACCTTCATTGTAACACAATTTAGCTATACTCTTATCCATCACTTTCATCTTCATCTTCATCTTCATCTTCATCCTCCCTCACGATCATCATCCAAAGATGAAAAATATCATTTTAAAAGTTTCCAGTTTAATCATAGAGGGTTAAAGTATTAGAAATATGAGAAAATTTATCAAATCAACTTCCGGTAACAATTTGATCAACAAAAATGAAAGATGAAAATGATTGATTGTCACCTGAAACAATTAAATGAAACAGATGATTAAACATAAACCCACCCACTCACACCCATTCAAGATACATTATGACGATGATGATGATAACAGAAATACATACAAAGACAATTAACTAATCACTTAATTTCTCGTTAATCAAACAGATATAATGTTGAATTTCCGGACTACCTTTGTAAATAAAAAAGGTGAAGTGGTAACTAAATCAAAATCAATTGTAATTCATTACATTCGAGGTTGGTTTTTTTGCGATTTAATCGCCGCTCTGCCTTTTGACGTTTTGTACGCTGCTAATCTTTATACAAGGGTAAATATATTTCTCATCCCAGAACAATTAAAACAAATGATTAACTAATTGTACTCATCGAAACCTCTTAGAACACCTTAACCCATTTACTTAAATTGACTCGACTCCTGAGGTTGGCCCGATTGTTTGCCAAAATGGATCGGTACTCACAGTATAGTTACATCATTTTGACCTTATTGATGCTGATGTTTTCACTGGTCGCCCACTGGTTGGCCTGCATTTGGTACGTTATCGGTGTCGAGGAGCTTGAACATAACGAAGGCGCCTGGTCAGTGGGTAAGGAAACTAATCAACGAAAACAATAACAACAAATTTGCTTGACCATTGATACAACAACACAATCAATGTCTCTCTCTGGATGATTGTTGAACACAACTGATTGTTATATATCAGATTTATTTGACCATTGGTCAAACTCTAACTGTATTTTTCATCATCATTTTATCTCATGATCAATGGTCAACTATAACAATTGATTATATTGGTTAGGAGGAAGCAATATAACAATCAAATATTAGATAATTGAATTAATAAATGCTTAATCAATGTCCAGTGTTTTCTGTCAGTATGTCAAACATGATGATGACCATGAACATGATAGACAAACAAATGAAAAAAAAAGTGATGAGGTAACAATTGAATTGTTATCATCAATCATCATGAGGGAAGATGAAGATAGGAATGAAATATTATCGTAATGTTATCGTTTTATATTTATTATCAGAATGATAATGAAAATTTTCCAATTTTTTTCTCTCTTCGATTTTCTCATCAGGTTGGATTCCTCAACTTTCTAATCGTTTAAGTTACGATGTTTACAATACATCGGACATGTACTCTGCCTACACAACTGCCCTTTACTTCACTACAAGTAGCCTTACGAGCGTTGGTTTCGGTAATGTGGCCGCTAACACCAATGCCGAAAAGATATTCTCAGTCTTTAGTATGCTGATCGGTGCTCTTATGCACGCCGTTGTTTTCGGTAATGTAACCGCGATAATCCAACGGATGTATGCCCGTCGTTCACAATATCAGACCAAACTTCGTGACCTTAAGGAGTTTTTCCGCCTCCATCAGTTACCCAAACAGTTACGCCAACGAATGACCGAATATTTTCAAACGACTTGGTCACTTAATCACGGAATCGATGCTAACGAGGTTCGAACGAAGAAAAAAATTATACATCAACTTATAAACGAAATTTTCTCTTATCATAATATCGAGGAATAGATGATGATAATATATTATTAGTATCGAAAACTAATCATCGAGAAAAAGAAAAAGTTTAGGATCGTTTAGTTGATCGATTGTTCAACAAATTGCTCGACAATTAGTGAGAATAAGCTATTTACACTTGATCTGTTTTCTTCTATTTTTTCCTTGATTTCTAATTGGAAAATGTTATCAACCGATTATCATCAGATTATCGATTAAATGATTTTTCTTATGTTGATTGTTTTCTATCATCATCAATGTTCACTCGATGGAATCGATAATCTTTTTTTTCTCGTTTTTTTCGTGTTGTTTTCTCACCTTTTTCATTTTTCTTTTCTTTTGTTCAGATTCTTCGTGAATTTCCTGATGAACTTCGTGGTGATGTTTCGTTACATTTACACCGAGAAATCCTTTCATTGCCCATATTTGAAACAGCGCCGCAGGGATGCCTTAAGTTACTTTCAAGGCACATAAAGAGTAACTTTTGTGCTCCCGGTGAGTATTTACTTCATGATGGAGATGCACTTTCATATATTTACCTGGTCTGTAACGGGTCTATGGAGGTTTTGCAAAATTCAATGGTTGTGGCCATTCTTGGTAAAGGTGATCTTGTCGGCTGTGATATTCCCTCCTCCCTTAATCCGGAAGCATTGATTAAATCGTCAAGTGATGTTAAAGCTTTAACCTATTGTGACCTCAAATCTATACACATAAGTGGCCTACTTGAGGTACTTAAATTGTATCCCGAGTTTGCTGAAACTTTTTGCACGGAAATTATTCACGATCTTACCTTTAATTTGAGAGAAGGTCATGATGATGCCTATGGGGTAGGATTCTTTGGTGGTGGTGGAGGAGGAGGAGGTGGTGGTCTTGGTGGAGGTGGAGGTGGACGAGGAGATGGGTTTGGTGGTGGTGGTGGTGGTGGTCTTCATCCTGCTCATTCATTGACACTTCCTTCAATTTCTGAGGATGATGAAGATGATGAGGAGGAAGAAGCGGATGAAGATGATGATAATCAAGGTAATGATGAAGATGAGGAAGAAGATGATAGAGAAGAGCAAATTGGTGTAAATATTACGGATAAAAGTCGGTCTGATGATGAGAGTGAATCAGGTTCACCTCCGGTGGCATCACCGCCTCTTGGCCTGAGAGCTCGAAGTCGATCTGGAACTCGAACATGGAATTTACTTGGAAATGAATCATCGGGTGGGCAACAAGTTGACAATTTACTTTGTGACTCCAATCGATCACCGATCAATCAACCAAATCCAACACGAAGATCAGCATTAAAGTTTACTGGTTCTTCTTCCAACACCGGAGGTAAATCTCCAGCCACGAGTAACCATCATCACGGGAATTTGGAATCACCACCAACCAGAAAATCAAACGAAGGTAAAAGTGGCCGGAGAGAAAAGAAAAATCCAATCAAAGAAGGAAACAAAATGATTCGAACCGATTCTTCATCCGATCGAGAATCAATTGAACGTATCGATGGACAAATGAATTCAATTCGTCAAGATGTCGCTCGACTTTCCAATGATATGAGATTAACATTAACACTTTTACAGAAATTATCTTCCAACGATTCTTCTTGTCATCATCATCATCATCACCATCATGAAAGAACAACGGGACGAGGTCGAATAATCGACAAGACTCAATCACTCGGTGAATTAAGCGGCAAATCTGACGGATCAATTGCAAGTGCTCTTTCAACAGGATCACCTCGTGGATCGGCTTCCATCGGCGGAGGTCCTCTTTCAATGGAAGCCGAAGACGATTCAGTCAGCGGTGGAATCACAACCGAAGTTAACTTGACCACGATCAGCGGTTGTTCATCAGTCACCGGCGGTGCCGTTGGAACAAATTTACCAATGTATCCAATTGATTCCAACCTTCGATCAGGACTTTTAGATGAACCATCGACTAATTCTGATTCCGTGAATTCATCACTAATCACTCAGCGTAATAATAACTCAATGGAAATCAATCACCATCATCATCATAATAAGACAACAATTAACACCAATAATCATCATCGTCATTCATTACAAACCTCAAGTGCTACTCAAACCGATCGATGCCTACTCGATGAGTTACTTGCAAAACTAAACGATTCTGGTTCACCGCCACCCAATTCGGGTTATTCATCATCTTCATCCAATGAAGATAAAGTTAGACACCTGATGGGTTTACATTATCACCGGAATACTGAGGATTCTGAAAGTATTTCAGATGATTCAGTTTTAAAAAATTCTCTTACCATTCAAAGTATCACATCTTCCAGGGACGTTTCTCCCTTTAAAGGTTCACGAAATAGTTGGAACTTGGGGTTGGCTGAATCATCTTCATCTTCATCTCCTCCTCTTCCAATGCAATTAGAATCATCATCAACAATCATCAACAGATTATCACATCAACAACAACAACAACAATCTCTCATCTTATTCACCTTGTTACACTTTACCATTAACAGCAATTCCATCATCATCATTATCTTCATCATCGACAATAATAACAGCAAACCAATCGACAGGATTAACTAATGTTGGTCAATTAATTGATAATCGAGCAATTAATCCTAATCAATTGCGATCAATTCCTAATCAATTCAATTCTGGTCAAGTCTCTGTTAATACAGTTAATGAAGGTTTAGATCAATGTGCAATTAATATTGATTATGGTAATTTAACTACATCATCTTCTTCCTCATCATCATCAACCGCAACAACCACAATTTCAGTTAGACGGAAACTATCAACTGAATTGTGATCAACAATTAACAAGGAGAAAAAGTTCTGATAATAAAAATTGTTCTAAAATTGTGATCGATATATAATATTATAAATATAATGATTATAATTATCATTTATCACTCGAAATCTATTATTACAATTTAATGTAAATTTCATTAACCATTTATGTACCTGATAAATATGATTAATATTTAAGTTGAAACAATGAGTTTTTAAACAATCATTTCATTTAGTTACATTTTATGATTGTTTCAGTTTGATTGAGTTGATTGGAAGAGTTAATTGTTGATTGGATTAAATCTTAGCTTTTCTTTTTCTAAAACTCAACAGATACATCTTTCTCGAAAGAAGCGAACAGTTCCTCGTCGAAATCATATTCCGCATCAGTGTAGTTACCATTTTCCACATCAAAATGATCTTTAATCGATTGATCTTTTAGATTCTCTTCAGGAATATCAAGTTCCGGGTATAGTAAAGGTGGTAAAAGTGGAGGAGTGAAACAAGATGCTTCCACCATATCATCACCAGTTTCATCTTCATCATCACTGAACAATTGATCAAAGTTGAATTTATCCACTAATTTGGTTCCAATTATTTTACGTTTCTCACTTGTATCATTATTATTATGATTATGATTATTGTGATTATTGTGATTATTGTTGTTATTATTGTAGATTAGATTAGCGATTTTGAAACTGTGATTATTTCGGGAATTTTGTACATTCACGTTGGCGGCAATGTTGTTGGCGTTATTATTATTGTTGCTGTTTCCCAGGATGCTGATCTTTTTTCTCATTGCTGATGTTACAGATCCATCATTTTGATAGTTTACCTTTAAACTAGAATTGATTTTGTTGTTGTTGTTGTTGTTGTAAAGATCATGCAAAGATAAAAAGGCTTTAACACTTGTCTTATTCCCGATTGCTTTAACGGTTGTCGATCCAGGGGTGAGTGTGATTAGTTTTGATGATGTGGGTGGTGTTAGAGATGGATAAACAGGATAAGATGAATCACAAATGCTATTGTCACTTGGAACATTTTGAATTTCTTCATCATCCTCAATCCACTTTGGTAGAGACTTCATCACATTGAATAAATCTTTAAAATTATCTTCTTGTTTAAGATGACTTTGATGTGTATTAGAAGCGATATGCTAAAAAACAAAAAAACAAAAAAACAAAAAACAATCAGAAACATAACGAATTAGATTATTATTATTATTATTATACTTAATTATGATCGTTTTCAAATGATTAACTTACTTCATTCATGTTTATAAATGTTATTCCACATATCTCACAATATTGCAAAGTATCTGGTTTCCGAACTGGTCCATTATTTATTCTGAGATCATTAATCCGTTGATTTGTACTTGGTTTCGGTGTATCACCACGCAGTTCGGGTGTTGGAGGCATTTTACTAGATAAATTGGCTAATCCACCAGTTTCATTTGTTGTTGGATTATTGTTATTATTTCTTGCATTATTTATATCACCAATTGATGAGGTTCTTTTCACTTTTGAAGGTGGGATGAATGGACACACAACTGGCTCAGTATCGACATATATTTGAGGCCATTCTGTGAATTGTCTGTAAGAAGGTTTATATTTTTCTTCCATATCCTCAACTTTGATAAAATTTCCTTGAAAATATTTAACAGCTTTTTGTGAGGTTATTGGCTTACGAGAAGTTAATTTGTCTCTTTCATCAATATATTGAAGACAAAATTCTAAAAATGTTTGTGCTGACAATATTTTGATACCACGACGATTAGCAAGTTCGATAACATCGATATTATGTTCATTTGTATTACTACTGCTGGGAAGAGGTTGAGCAGCAAGTGCGAATTGTTTACCCCGAGGCTAAAACAAAAACAAAGAGATAGAAAGAGATAACACAAATGAGATAAAAGAATAATAATACAAAGATATGGTTCCATCAAACAATACACACAGGACAGAATATAAAAAAAAATAATCGACTCACCAATAAATCATTAATCTTTTTACTTGGTGTTGTTCCTTGTGGTGGTGCTTCCTGACCATTAGTTAATTTATCTCTCAACAACTGATCTCTCGATTGTCGATCAGTAATCACATATTTCACTTCTTTTGAATCAAGAAATTCACTAACCAACTGCCAGAAAAGAATAAAACAAAGCACATTGAATTTAGAATAGAAAAAAAAACGAAAGAGAATAAAAAAAAATAATCACTTACCCCTCCTAATTTGGTTAAATAAGATTTCAATCTGTTTCTATTCTGGTGACTTTTCACATCGAGGTAAAAGACTCGTTTCTTAAATGGATGTTTGGAAACTGAATCTTTATCCATAATTCCAAAAAGCCTAAGACAATCACAGGTTAAAACAATTAAACAATTTAAAAAAGAAAACAAATCAACTCAATCATTGTTTATCTGATGGAAAGACCCGGGCTAATGTTTTCCCTCTTCTCACTCACCGCGAATGAAAATTTCCCTGTTCAAAATAATCGATTTATATTAACCGATTCTCTTCGATTAACGAACATCGAACTTTTTATTCTCTCATAAGCCCAATGTTAACTTCGATTATTCAAATCGATTATTTTCTTACATTCAATTAGATTGTTAATGAAAAATCGATCATCAATCATAAATCCGATTAAACTTTCAACCGACAGAAAAATGATCATCATTGCCATCTAGTGAATTGCCTGGTAACCCATAAATTAATTAAAAATGATTTATGAGATTAACTGATTTATCAAAAGATTAATTTCGTTGATTGTGATGATGGTGATAAAAATAAAACTCTTTGTATTTGTTTGTATTGAGAATTTATTTTTAATTTCTTGACCTTAACTTCAGCTATACAATTTGCAAATTACACCAATTTAGCACAACAATCAGTGTCAACAATTAGTTGATTTCAACAACTATAACATTAGAAGGAAAGAAGAAAAGTTTTCTCAATCTATTTCAATTGTAATTGAAAAATTTCAGCTTAGATTTATGAGTCTAATTCAATGGAAGCCGAAGATGATTCATGGTCCAAGTCAACTTAATTACGATCAGCGGTTGTTCATCAATCACCGGCGGTGGAAATTGAAAATTGGCAAATTGACCGGCACTCAGCTTAATAGTAACTCTATGTGATGATTTGTTAATTGCGGATAATGAATAATAGATTGTTTGGTTTATTGTTATTCTTTTTTAACAACAATTAACTTATTCTTTGATTGGCTTGATATCCTTTTAATTGTATAAGAGTTTAAGGTCAAAAAGTAAAGTAATAAATAATAAATTCTGAACTCACTTTAAGTTGAATTCTCATTTTTATCGTCAAGAATTGAAAAAGACTTGATTTTTCACAATTTTATACATATGAATTATTATTAAATCGGCAAAGAAAAAGTTGATTGTGTTGATGATTATCGTTAATCCAGTGAGAAAAAAGAGCTTGTTAATTAGTTACATTTTATGATTGTTTCAGTTTGATTGAGTTGATTGGAAGAGTTAATCGTTGATTGGATTAAACCTTAGCTTTTCTTTTTCTAAAACTCAACAGATACATCTTTCTCGAAAGAAGCGAACAGTTCCTCGTCGAAATCATATTCCGCATCAGTGTAGTTACCATTTTCCACATCAAAATGATCTTTAATCGATTGATCTTTTAGATTCTCTTCAGGAATATCCAGTTCCGGGTATAGTAAAGGTGGTAAAAGTGGAGGAGTGAAACAAGATGCTTCCACCATATCATCACCAGTTTCATCTTCATCATCACTGAACAATTGATCAAAATTAAATTTATCCACTAATTTGGTTCCAATTATTTTACGTTTCTCACTTGTATCATTATTATGATTATTGTTATGATTATTGTGATTATTGTTGTTATTATTGTAGATTAGATTAGCGATTTTGAAACTGTGATTATTTCGGGAATTTTGTACATTCACATTGGCGGCAATGTTGTTGGCGTTATTATTATTGTTGCTGTTTCCCAGGATGCTGATCTTTTTTCTCATTGCTGATGTTACAGATCCATCATTTTGATAGTTTACCTTTAAACTAGAATTGATTTTGTTGTTGTTGTTGTTGTTGTAAAGATCATGCAAAGATAAAAAGGCTTTAACACTTGTCTTATTCCCGATTGCTTTAACGGTTGTCGATCCAGGGGTGAGTGTGATTAGTTTTGATGATGTGGGTGGTGTTAGAGATGGATAAACAGGATAAGATGAATCACAAATGCTATTGTCACTTGGAACATTTTGAATTTCTTCATCATCCTCAATCCACTTTGGTAGAGACTTCATCACATTGAATAAATCTTTAAAATTATCTTCTTGTTTAAGATGACTTTGATGTGTATTAGAAGCGATATGCTAAAAAACAACCAGAAACATAGTGAATTAGATTATTATTATACTTAATTATGATCGTTTTCAAATGATTAACTTACCTCATTCATGTTTATAAATGTTATTCCACATATCTCACAATATTGCAAAGTATCTGGTTTCCGAACTGGTCCATTATTTATTCTGAGATCATTAATCCGTTGATTTGTACTTGGTTTCGGTGTATCACCACGCAGTTCGGGTGTTGGAGGCATTTTACTAGATAAATTGGCTAATCCACCAGTTTCATTTGTTGTTGGATTATTGTTATTATTTCTTGCATTATTTATATCACCAATTGATGAGGTTCTTTTCACTTTTGAAGGTGGGATGAATGGACACACAAATGGATCAGTGTTTACATATATTTGAGGCCATTCTGTGAATATTTTTGCAGAAGGTTTATATTTTTCTTCCATTTCTTCAACTTTAATAAAATTTCCCTTAAAATAAGTAATAGTCTTTGTTGAGCTTGATGACTGACGAGAAGGTAATTTATCTTTCTCATTAATATAACCCAGACAAAATTCTATAAAAGTTTGTGCTGACAATATTTTGATACCACGACGATTAGCAAGTTCGATAACATCGATATTATGTTCATTTGTTGTATTACTACTAGGAGGAGGTTGAGCAGCAAGTGCGAATTGTTTACCCCGAGGCTAAAACAAAAACAAAGAGAAAATGAATACAATAAATAAGATAAAAAAAATCATAAAGATATGGTTTCCAATGGCGGGATAGAATATATATAAAGAATTTTTTACTCACCAATAAATCGTTAACCTTTTTACTTGGTGTAATTCCTTGAGTTGGTCCATCTTGACCATTTGGAATTTTTTCTCTTACCAAATCTTTCGATTGTCGATCAGTAATCAGATATCTCACCTCTTTTGAATCAAGAAATTCACTGACCAACTGCAAGAGGAGAACAAAAACCAACATAAACAGACAAAGCACATTAGAATACATGTGACAAAAAAAAGGAAACCGAATAAAAAAGGCACATTGAATTTAGAATAGAAAAAAAAACGAAAGAGAATAAAAAAATAATCACTTACCCCTCCTAATTTGGTCAAATAAGATTTCAATCTGTTTCTATTCTGGTGACTTTTCACATCGAGGTAAAAGACTCGTTTCTTCAACGGATGTTTAGTAACCGAATCTTGAAACATAATTAAAAAGAATCAAAGTAAATCACAGGCAATTAGAAGAACAATTAAAAAAGAAAACAAATCAACTCAATCATTGTTTATCTGATGGAAAGACCCGGGCTAATGTTTTCCCTCTTCTCACTCACCGCGAATGAAAATTTCCCTGTTCAAAATAATCGATTTATATTAACCGATTCTCTTCGATTAACGAACATCGAACTTTTTATTCTCTCATAAGCCCAATGTTAACTTCGATTATTCAAATCGATTATTTTCTTATATTCAATTAGATTGTTAATGAAAAATCGATTATCAACCATAAATCCGGTTAAATTTTCGATTTCGGTTATCGACTCTTCTTAACTCAATAGAAAACCAGATGATCATTGCCATCTAGTGAGCTCCAAGGTAACTATTGGTCAGAACTCTAATCAACAGATTAGAGACAATTAATTAATTTCAGTTTATTAAAATTTGAGAAAAACAATTGGATTTCTAAGATTGTGATTAGTTTATTTTCAAGTTCGAGTTTATGGTTTAGATAATTTAATTACATTCGATTCATAGATTAAGTCTAACGTGAGTCCAATTTGAATTTCTAACAGTTGAGTTTAATTGTTTTGTCGACAATTTAATCATTGATTAGAATTGATTAACTAATAGTATTAGGATTCGCTTATTCGTATCAATTAACTTGTTAATTTGACAAAATTGTGAAATAAATCTTGATGTTCATCAATCAATCACCAACAATTAGCTAATCATTTGATGATGATGATGAACAATCTAACTAATTATTACAATAGAATCAATTTAATTAACAGTTTGTAAGATGAATTTAAATTGATAATTTTGATCGACTCAATGATCAAGACTTGAAATTGATTGTTGATTGTGATTTCAAAGTAAATTAATCTCATCTAATTACCTTGAGGCTAAATTAAATCAAGGTGTAATTTAGTATTAACTGTGATCATTAATTTTAATGATGAAAAGCGGAAAACAAATTAAACACAACAACAATTTACCAACGATTGGGACAATTTAAAGGTTGTAGCAATTAAAATTAATGGTTAATCATCATCATCAGACTTGTAATTAATTTAGGAGATAATCATTATTTCAACAATTAACGTTTACCTTTTTTTTTTACTGTTGATTAACACTGGTGGTGATTTGTTTTAATCATTGAGTATTAATTGTTTCTCTAAATTGTAACCTTGACGATGTAAATTTAATTGATTTAAAAGATTAACTCATTTAACAATTAGATTAACAATTAATTGTGTTGATTGTGATAAAAACAAAACTCTTTCTGTTTGTATTGAGAATTTATTTTTAATTTCTTGACCTTAACTTCAACTATACAATTTGCAAATTACACCAATTTAACACAACAATCAGTGTCAACAATTAGTTGATGTTAACAACAATTTAATAGAAGAAAAGTTTTCTCAATCAATTCCAATTCTAATTTCAATTGAAAATTTTCATCTAAAATTAGATTTTCACCTTTGAAAAGTTCATTTCGTGAGTTAACTGGTTACTCTTTTTTCTGATTATCATGATTAACTAAAGTACCGTTACAATCAACGATCAATATTTAACAACAATTAACTAATAAAATCGAATCCAATTGTATTGATAATCAAAAATGACCCAGAGAAAGGTAAAAATACCCTAAAGATCAGAATTAGATCAACAATCAAATCGTAGAATCAAATTAATATCAACTAGAGGAAAATCAATACTTGAAATTGATTGGAAAACTTTTCAACTAATCAACTAATTGTTACCAACAATTAAAAGTGAACAAAAAAGGTAAACATTTAGGTGAGAGAAAGAAAGAGGCAAATTAAAAAAAAAATGAGAGAAAATTAATTGTTACAACAATCAACATGTAAAAGAAAATTAGAATTAATCATCAATTACAATTTGAAATTCGTGTATCAACAAAATCTAATTGTGGTCAGTTAGAAACTGACCATAAGTGAAAGAGAAACTTTCAACATCTCTTTGTTTTTACCTCAACTGAATTAAATTTAATTCACTAATCATAATGGTGTAGATGTTAATCTTAAATCATGTTAATCGAGAATCTTTTAATCATGTTAACAATTTAGCTAACTAAAAGTTACTTGTCCAATTGAATGTATTAAAACTGAGATGAAATTGTTGATCAACAATTTAACAGAAAAAAAAAATTAATTCGCTTGTCAATTTAAATCAACAATTATCACTCAAAGAGAAACTTAATTACCATTGGCAATAATATATAATTAGAATACCTTTTACCTTGATTGTTACATGACAACAATTCATTGATTTAGTTAATAGATTATGATGATTACTTTTGAAAAAGTTTAAAAATAGTTTCGATTAACTTGAAAGTAAAGTTTTTCCTTCAATAGTTACAAAGAGAGTGACCTCATTTTTACCTGACCAGTGACCAGTTTACCTTGAAAATTAATGTTCTAGGTTCACCTAAGGCAGATGAAGATGAAGATGATGATGAGGATGATAAGATGATGATAGAATTTATTTTTAAATTTTTTCTCTATTCAAAATTAATCCAAACTTAAAGTTTAGAACTTTTTTTTTCCTCTTCATCCTCCCAACCCGCAACCTCTGATCATTTTATTATTATTATTGATTATTTGATGATAATAATTAATCAAAGTATCGTAGTTACAGTTGATTAACTCAGATAGTGATTTAGGTTAATCCATAAACAACAATTAACTTTGATTGTTGTTCAATTTGCTTCTGTTGATTTTGCAAAGTCAAATATATTATGTAGACTTGATAATAATAATAAATTATTATAAAGTAATTGTTGTTATTTGATCACAATTAACAAACTAATGTAAACAATTTAAACGATTAACTAAATTTTACCTTAATTGTTATACAATTTCATACATATATTATATATTATAATATGATCCCTTTAATTGGTTAATAAATTGTAATCTAAGGTGTAATTTGATTACAATTTAATTTTCTTATATAATGTTTACCATAAACAGTAAATTGTGGTTAAGGTAAATTTTAATCAATAGCAATTAAGATTATATCAAAGATTATATCATTAACTGGATTGGAATCAATAAAAGGAAATCAATGATTAGTCAACAATTAAAATAAAAGTTAATAATGATAGAGAGATGAAGAGGAACAGAAATTAACTAAATCAAGTAAATTGTGACAAATTATACGAATGAAAAAGAAAAGTTTTTATAATTGTTAACAATTATTAAATTTTTACGATGATAAAGATGAAGGATAATTATGATAATAAGTGAAGCTTAATTAAGATGATTAAAGGTGAAATTAATCAGAGGACATCCTGGATTCAGAATTTATCTCAGGTAAACTTTCCCGTTATTCTGGTTTAATATTGGGTTTATATCGGTTTTCCGATAACCGGTTAATTCAATGACCAGGTAGATGTAGAGGTTACCGTGCTTGCCACCGCATCCTCATCCTCATCCTTATCTTCATCTTCATCTTCATCTTCATCTTTATCCTCATCATCACCATTAGAAATGGCAATAAGTTAGAAGAGGAAGACTAACAAGGAGAAGAAAAAATATCGAGAGAGAGAGAGATGAAAAGGTAACTGGAAAGAAAGAAGAAGATGAGATGATGATGATGATGATGAAGGTAAAGGTAGAGAAAAGGTGGAGAAAGAAAGTGGAAGAGAAAAAAAGGTAAAAAAGAAAGAGAAGAAAGAGAAAAGAAAGAGAGAATTGAAAAGTAGAGACTCTTTTTTACTAGAGAGACAAAAAATGTCCCACTTATGGTGAGCGTTTTTCTCATCTTCAGTCTCTCTCTCTCTTCTTGTCCTTTTCTATCTTCTTCTCTTTCTATCATCATCATCATCATCATTCTCTTTCTTTTCTATTCTACCCGAAACACTCGCCTTTCTTTCCTTCACTCTCTTTCCCTCTCTTTCTATCTTCTTCTCTTCTCTGTCTGTGTCTCTTTCTATCTTCTTCTGTTGACTTCCAATGTTGTAAGTTCATTTTATCCTCAATCTTTTTGGTGTGTATGTTTTTCCTACTCTTGTTAATCTAAATCTATTTTTCTAATTAACTCTTGATTGTTGATTATTGTTTTCACCCATTGATTGTGGTCATTTAGTGTTCCAATTGGTGATCTTTGTTTAATTAATTTCCATCGGTGATTATAAATACAACGGATTAAAAAGCGCAGAGAAAAATTCAAATGTGAAAAGAATATTTTTTTTTCTCTTCTTTTCCTTTTCCTTTTTTTTTCTCTTCTATTCTATTTTTTTTTTGCTTCTTCTTCTTTGGAATTGATTTTATTTTTCATGTTGGTCTATGGTCACCAAGGTAATTTAATCGGTGGTGTTGATCCACAGGGACAACCTAAATTAACTTGTATCACCTCAACCCAAAGTAAAATTGATCCATCGACAACATTGGTGTTAAATAATCAAAGGCCTCAACCAAGTGACCAATCTGATATGGCGACGGGTCTTCATGCCTCTTCTTCATCTGATATGGAATTGGAATCGATGATTGTTTTATTTTTTGAGAAACGTAAAGAATTAAATCAATCACTATTAAAGGTTGAAGCTCTAAGTCGACAATTGGAAGAGCTAAAAAGTGGAATCAATGGATCAACCGCAACTTACAACAGGTTTACCAATAATCCGGTAAACCGAGTGATTGGTGATAAATTTGATGATCTGGAAAAATTAAGACAAGAGCTTACGGTAATTAACTAGTAACCAGTAAATTGTGATGATGATTGTTGGTACCCAAATGAACCCGATTTTTGTTTTGGTCTCTTCTATATCAATCATAACAATCAAATGATTGTTACCACAGTGTTAACTTTCAATTGGAAAATTATTGTGACCCTAATAGTGTTTATATTTATTTATTCATTTATTTATTATGGTTTAATTGTCAACAATTTAACACCCATTAGATGAAGAAGGATGTAAATTATCATCTAATTTGTTTCTTAGCAATTTAGATTTCTTTTTTAGTTAATCTATTGTTACCCTTTTCTTTGACTTGATTATTGTTACAATAACGATGATTGAAACAACATCAACAATCATCATTTTCAATTCCTTATTTGTTAAATTTTTTATTATTCTATTCTATCATCATTAACTTTAATCGCTTGAAGCTAATCTAAATCTAATTCACCTTTTTCTTTTCCAATCCTACAGAATCAAACCCGACTAAATGACCAACAAAATGTGACCTTAATGCACAAACAGAACCTGTTAATGCAAAGGAAGTGTGAAATCGCCGGAATCAATGAGAGAATCTCTGAATTACAGAAAAGATTAGCCATGAAACGAATGTTAAATCAACAATTATCCTCTCAGGCCAAAAGTCGAACTGGTGTAGCCTATGGATTACCTAATGATAATTCACTTAACTCATGTAATCCACGATTAAGAAGCTCAGTTGGCCCATGTAACAACATTCGTCTAACTAATAACTACAATCGTAACAATGTAATCAATGTTGCCGCTGTTGAACCTTTCCAAAGATCAACTGTAACCACAAATAATTATCCAGCCAATTCTTATGATAAAGTGAGTAGCATTACAATCAAATTTGATTACTTCCTATTATCCAATCAATTATAATGTTTACTAATTATTTTTTCTCTCGCTCTTTCTTTTCCCTTTACATATCTAGTCTGATGAAAATATCGATCCCATATTAGGCGATATCTCTCCGACCAAACAACAATTAACGCAATTTCAAAACTTGCCTTATAGGAATAAATATTCACCCGTTGAAATAACCTCATCAAATGCTTACCCACCGACAGTGAATATAAATAACGTTGAAAACACGACCAACATTAACAACAAAACCAATTGTATCCTCAACACACATCACCATCATCACCAACAACAACAACCACAGCAACAGCAGCAACCGTTTCATCATCTTCCTCTCTCTCATCATCAACAACAGCAACAGATGCAACTCCAACGACAACAACAACAACAACAACATCATCATCATCACCAACAACAACAACCACAACAACAATATGTATCCGTTGGTAACACACATAAAAGTAATGGTAACAATGTAAATCTGTCACTGGCCAATGAGATGATAAGTCAATCGGAATCATCTGAAAGATCCTGTGATGAGAACGGAACCTGTGAACTTGTACGGCCACAGTCCGATGGTCTAGTGGGAGGAGGTGAAAATACGCTTATCAATAGTCCGTTAAAGCATAAGATACACTTGAGAGAACGGCCTTCGCCCTCCGGAAGTAGTAGCAGTTCATCAGATCAACTTCCTGCTGGTTACTCTCCCTCAAAGAAAGTTTTAGAAAACATCAGTGACAATATGAATAATAATCATAACCATAATAATAAATCACTTGGAGTTAATAGTGTGAACCATTCATCTAATAATGATTATTATGGTTCTCGTGGTGTGGGTGGTAATAGTAGTAGTAGTGGTGCTGATGGTGACAATAATAATGAAAATATGATGACGATGGGTAATTGTGATAATTTTAATAATACCAATAATTATCGTTTCTCTGAACAAATGAGTGGATATGATGAGACAGCATCAAGTGAACAGCAACAATTGATAGATTGTATTAGGAAAAATTCACGCCTGGTTGATCATCATCATCATCATCATCACTCTCAGCATCAAAAATCACAACAATTACAACAAAAACAACAATCAGAATTGATTGAAAAGTGTGTCTCCGATTTGCCAAATAACATCAACAACAACAATAATAATAATAGTAATAATAATAATGGTAATAATAATCAAAATTGTTCATCATTAGATGAAGATGATCGATCCACATTGTCTGATCCTTCAGTTACCTCTTCTTCCGGATCAAGTTCATCCAATCAACAAAATGTTCATAATCTTAATCATCATCATAATCACAATCATAATGTTAATCCAACGAAAACATCATTTGAAAGGAAACCACTTAATTTCCAATGGCCACCACCTCAGTATCAATCAATTGATCATCAACAATCAAAGTCAATCACAAGTAAACCCGATGAGGGTAAAAAAGTGACCTGGGCAAAGAAGCGAATATTATCAAAGACAACTGATGATCTTCGAAGTCCAACAAAAGATTCATTCTATCTTAAAGAAAGTCCATCTTCCCGTCCGACCTCAATTCATCTAATGAACAACAATAATAATAACAATCGACAACAACAAAATAATAACTCTAAACAAGAAACAAACTGTCAACATGAGGATCATCATAATCAATATAATAACCAACAGAATCATAAATTGTCACTTGATACTAAGAAAATTATCATCAATACATTTGTTAATAGTAATCAGAATAATAATAATTGTAACAAAATTAAAAGCTCCCTGAAAAAGGATAACGCTAATAACCATAGAGTCCACCAGAAAAAGGATCATGAAGGTTTAACCCGACGGGTTAGTTTTGACCCTTTAGCCCTTTTACTGGACGCTGCCCTTGAAGGTGAACTTGATCTGGTCAAAAAAACATCTAAGGTACGTTAACCCATGTTAAAACTTTAAATTGTTTACTAAATCATTAACAATCAGGTCCACATAATCAACCAGAAAAACAAAACTTGAATCTCTCTTTCAAGGAAACGTTTTCTGGGTTAGATTATATGAATTTTTTTCTCCTTAATTTTACTCAACAATTTATTATTCAAATGATTTAATCATTTTGCATCAGACCTCTCGCTGATTCCAATTGAATTATCATCATCATAATCATCATCTTACACAAATTAATGACGATAATATTAATTTACCAACAATTTGACTTGCAAATTTCAATTTATCACCAACATCACATCAAATTTATTTAGATTCCAATGATCAACCTAAACATTATTTGCTCATTAGACATTAGACAAAAACGATTAGCTAACAATTGATTAATTGCTCAAGTCAATTGTTTAATTTAATGAGAAAAACAATCAGAATTTAAGATTTTCCTTTCAAATCACCCGCCTACTTTTTTCTCTTGTTTTCACCTTGAATATTAACAGAATTATCAATCTAATGAAATTCTGATGAATTTTGTGATTCCTTTGAAACTTTCGCTGGGTCAGTTTATCGATTTAAGTTCTGAGAAAAAAAGTTCTATTTTATTATTCTTAACCTATTGTAGTTGTTATATGTCAATCTTTCCAATGGGTCAATCTAATGATAGTGATGATTAGTAAATCTCCTTAAATCTAATGATCCATTTCATGATGATTGTGATGATAGATTTTTTTCTTCTTCTTCCTAATCCTTAAAAGTTTTTGTTATTAATTTAATTCTATTTTACTTTTTTATTGTTTTTATAATTTATAATTACACAGATACAAGATGTAAGTGCTGCCAATGATGAAGGGATAACTGCCCTTCACAATACAATTTGTGCCGGTCATTTTGAGATAGTTAAATATCTAGTTGAAATTGGATGTGATGTCAATGCTCCTGACAGTGATGGATGGTAAGTTGTTACCTGTGCAAATGAAAATTACCTGATATACTTAATCAATTGAAGCAGAAAAACAACAACAACATCAAATTGAATAGTTAGCAAACCAAGAAAAAGATAAATACATTTTCCATCAACAGGATTACATTATCATTACTTAATATTACACAAGAGTTGGTTAACTAGTTGAAGTAATCAATGTAAATGATTTTTACCTGATTATCTGAAAACTTGTCTCTCTCTCTCTTTAATTATCTGTGATTGAGATTATTTCATGTTTGTTGTTGGTAATAACTTGCTAATCATTGAGATTATTTGAATTTACATTTTTATTTCAATCTTTTGTTGATTGTTAAATGTTGATGCATTGAAATTATCCTTAAGGTTTAGTGAGCTAATCAATTGTTTTCAAATAATGTTACCTTAATGAGGGATTATTGTTAACAGGGATCAATTGATTTTATTATTATTGTTGTTGTTGTTTTCTTGTTACCTGGTGATTACAGGTATGATTACCTGTTGATTAGATGATTAATTGTTTTTCTTTCTTTTTTCTTATCCCACTAGGACTCCATTACATTGTGCTGCTTCTTGTAACAATTTGACTATGGTTAAATATTTAGTTGAACATGGAGCCTGTATTTTTGCGACAACTTTTCCGGATAAGGAAACAGCAGCCCAAAAGTGTGAGGAAGGCGAAGAAGGATTCGATAGATGTTCTCAATATCTACTACGTAAGAACTTTATTCTTCATTTACTTCTCTCTCTCTCTTAATTGAATTTCGAAAAACAAATATGATTAATCATTTGCATCTCTTTCTCTCTCTCTCATTTCAGATATTCAAGATAGTCTGGGTATCATGAATGATGGTATTGTTTACGCTGTTTATGATTACGATTCTCAAAGTTCAGATGAATTGAGTTTCAAAGATTCAGATTGTATAACTATCTTGAGGCGTGGAGATGAAGATGAAAAAGATTGGTGGTGGGCACGATTAAGTGACAAAGAGGGATATGTACCTCGAAATTTACTCGGAGTAAGGAAATCAATTCAATAACATAATGAATAACAATCAATTTAATCTGAAACAACAACAATAACAATCCTCAGTAGACGATGATGATGGTTTTTATTGGAACCCATTTTTTTTATTTCTTCTTCCATTGATTATTGACCATCACCATCATTATCATGATGATAATCAACATTATAATGATAACTTATTGTAGTAAATCAGTAATCAGATAACCAGGAAATAATAGCTAACCCAGATTAAGCTCGTTCAGTGTCATTGTTTCAATTGCAATCCTTTTTCCTTCCCCATTAACAACAATTACAATTATATTCTCATCTCTCTCTCTCTCTCTCTCTTCCTTATCTTCATCACTATCTTAACGTAGTCTTTTCTTACTTCATCTTTATTCATATTTGGAATTTAATTTGAATTATATTAGCTAATCTCTCCATTATAATCTAACTTTTCCTTGGGGAAAAAGTTTACAGTTGATTCTGTTGTCAATTGTCGTTAACATTTCCTATTAACCTTGTTGTCCTCCTTTTCCCGTAATCATCATCATTATCATAATCATCTTCCTCTCACTTTCTTCCTCTCATATAAACATGATGATTATGATCTCACTCACCTTTACATTTTCATCAAAAAAATTTAATAACAATGAACTAATTTACTTTCCCAGTCTTTCATTATATTATATTATATAATTGAAACAATTATCTCTACCTGATTAATCAACTCTCTCTCTCTCATCTAATTACGATTAATGTTTCTTCATCATGATGTCTGTCTCTCTTTTCATCTGATGATAATCATGATAATTGTCAGTTAATCTGAGCAGAGCAAAACTTGACCATGTAAACACTTAGTAATTATCATTATCAACTTAATAATACACATTAACCAGCTCTAAACTGGTTTAAGTCTAAACCAATGAATTTAAATCAAATCAAGAGATCAGACAAAAAGTAACAACAATCAACAATTTAGATTCATTTAGTTAACATTTTATCCCACAATTAACACACAGTTGTAACTCATTGTAAAAGCTCATTGACTTTTTTGTTCACTTGTGTCTATGATAATGTTAATCATATTTTAATTACAATCACAATTACAATTTCTTATTCTTTGAGTTAAACTGTTTGTGTGGTTATCATGCTAATTGTTAATTACTTGATGTTGTTATTGTTGTTAAGGTTAATTTCCCATTTGCATTTCCCTCCCTGACAATTAAATAATTCACCTTCAATTGTTACTTGAATACACTTTTAATTCACTAATTAATTGTTTAATTTTTTCTTCTTCTTATTGTTTTCAGTTATACCCACGAGTTAAAGCCGATAAACAAGACAAAGTAGATGCCATGGATTAATTACAATTAAGAAAACAATTAACTACACAATCAGAAACAAACAAACACACACACATCACCAAAAGCTTGTCAATTTTAATCAATCACAAATTACAACAAAATTATCATGATTATAGTTTTTTAATTACAATTAAGAAACAGAGGAAATCATAGTCATTTAGATGTTATAACAATTAAAATAATCACACCAAATCCGTCCAATTAACCCAAATGATCAATTAGTTTTGTTGATCATTTTCAGATTGAAACTGATTGGGTTCATGGTAATTAATTGTGAATTTTAATTGTATTTTACATCTCCTATCACATGAATACTTATGGAAGGAAAAGAAGATTTAAAACTAATTTTAATCAATCACAATCAAATTTACAACAATCAACGTGAAGATAATTTTCTTCTAATTCTTGCTATGCAAAGTTTTTAATTAGCATTTATTACCACCAACAATTAACTAATTTTTGTTATCGTTTTCATCTCAAACCATTTTTTTTTATTTACATAATTTTCACTTCTCTTTCTTCAATTGTGCCTAAATGCTTTTAATTAACTATCATAATTAACTAATTTTCACCACCCAAATCATAAATATCACCCAGATAATTTAGATAATCAAGTTGCCAAATTAATGGGAAAATTAATTGTGTTTAAAGCTATTGCTTATATCATTTTTTTAATTATAAATATTTTACAATCAATTTTTTTTACCAAAATGTTAAATTGCTTCAAATTTTCCTCTAATTGTTTGAAATTTTGCAAGTAATTATGTTGACAATTAACTCTGTCTTATCAACAACTATCAACTTAAATTGTAATCAAATCAAATCAAACAATTTCAACCAACGAATGTAAAACTTGGTTAAGTCTAATTGTTTAAATCAACACATTTTTTGATAGCATTTTAATTAGTCCAATTAATTGGATTGTCAAAACCTTTCATTTGTATTCAATTTTAATATCCAAAGTGTCACCAACAACTCAAGTTAATTAATTGTCAATCTTAAAATAAAATCAAACAATTAAGATTAGTAATTAGCTTGTAAACAATTTTCCTTAACCTTGATTAACCTAGTAAACAATTAAATTAAAAGTTGATCAACAATTTAAGTCTTGATTGAGTTAAACTTTTTGTTCAAATTTTGACTCCAATTTTGATCATCAGACAACATTAAACTTTTAATTGTTAACTAATTAATTGATTATATGATAACAATCAATTGAAAATGATACAGGAACCTCATCACCATCATCGTCTTAATTAAGACAAAAATCATTAACTACAATTAACTAAATTAATCGTTTTTACTTTAACTTATTTATTTCCTTATTATTGAACTAGAAACACTGAAAGAAACAGTTAATCAACAGCAAATTTACAATTAACCAACAATTAAACATATCAATAATTAATAATAATATAATTAAATGATAAAACAAACAGTAAGTAAGTTTAATCAGTTGATTACAATTGTAATTAACGTAATTGTGAAATGATTAAATATTATTATTGATTAAAATGAACAAAATTTCAACCAAAAAAATGTTAAATTGCTTCAAATTTTCCCTCTAATTGTTTGAAATTTTGCAAGTAACTATGTTGACAATTAACTCTGTCTTATCAACAACTATCAACTTAAATTGTAATCAAATCAAATCAAACAATTTCAACCAACGAATGTAAAACTTGGTTAAGTCTAATTGTTTAAATCAAAACATTTTTTGATAGCATTTTAATTAGTCCAATTAATTGGATTGTCAAAACCTTTCATGTAATTGTTTGTCAACAATCAACTTGATTACAATTAACTTATGATAATAATATTTACCATGATATTTAATATAATAATGATTAATTATTATTCCTTAAGTAAACAATTAAGAAAAAAAAAGTTTTTCTGTTTTAATTAAGTCTCATCATTGATTATATTAAACATACAATGTATAAAAGAGTTAATTGTGAAACTTCATTTTTAATTAAAATCAGAATTGTGGGTAATCAATTTTAATCTGATTTGAAATTATGAGTTTAAAGTTATACAATTTAAATTGCAGAAATTTTCATGATTGTAATCATAAGAAATTAGTTAATTTCTCAAGGATAAACCATGAGCACGGTATTGATCATGATTAACTAGTTTTCTTAATCACAACGACAAATCAAATAGTCTTAATTAACCACAAGAATTAATTGAAAAGAGAGTAAAAAAAATATAATATAATATTAACCAACCTAAATTGTCAGACAGTTTTATCAAATCAAATTAGTGAATTGTAATCACCATTTAAAATCAATTAATCAATAAACAGGAATGATCAATGATTACAATCAAAATTAATGACGATCATCAGATTGTAATGTTGAAATATTGAAATTGAAACAATTACAATTGATTAACAAAGGTGAATTAATGTTAATCTTTGGATTTAATTGTTCGGGGTCAAAAGGGTTGTGATGAGGATGATAAGTGATGAGGATAAATGGACATCGTAAGGTCATTTTAAGTGTATATTGACTTGAATAGTCCACCATGTTGATCGGCGTGTTTACTTGTTGACCCTGAAAGGGTCTGATGTCCTTGTTAGAACCCGAATTTGCCGAAGAAAGAGAAAAAGAAAGAGAGAGAGAATCTATCGTAATATTTTTTTCTACTCAACATTAGAACCTCCTTTTTATCATCTTCTTATCTTTATCTTCATCTTCATCTTCTCTCTCTTTTTACCTTTCTCATCGATAGATGATGAGGATGATCATAGACTCGATGATAGAGATTTTGTTTTCTCTCTCTCTCTTCTCTCTCAACAAACTAGTTTTCTTCCCATTAATCTACCTTTTACATTTCATCATCTTTATCATCCTTATCATCTTCCATTCTCTCTCATTCTCTCACTCTCTTAGACAATTTAATTTCTCTCTCACTCTCTGATTCTAAATCAAATTAAGTTAATCCACTTCCAACGAAATCCTTTTCTTTTAGTTTACCTTAGTCTCGGTTCACCTTCACTTGTTTGACCAACGATTTGAACAATTAACTAACCATTTTCTTATAATCTAATTTCATTTTCATTCATTCTAATTAAATTGTTGTCGTTAACGTTAATTGACAAGTTATTTTTAATTAGATTTGATTGTTAATAGTTTTTTTTACTTCCTCATTGTTTGTAACTCTTTTTTTTAACCAAATTTAATTGATAAAATTTAATTGTCATCATCAGTGAGTTCATAATGCCTTTAAATCCGATTAAAATTTTAATTATTCCAACCAATGGGTAAGTAATTAAATAATTGTTATATTGAACAATCAACTTATATATTTGTAAAATTAAGCAAATCAGTAATCAAATTAAAATAAAAAAGGTAAACTAATTTAAGTTGTATTAATAGAGTAGCAATTTAATTGTTCATCATTGGCTAATTTTTGTTTTCCTCTGAATTTAAATTACATTAGACTGTTAACAATTAATCAAGAGTTAATTGTCTCTGGTTGAATAAGTCAATTTAATTGGGATTGTTAATTTGAGAATTGTAATCAGTCAACCTTGAAACGTTTTCTATGTAAACATTTAAATTTAATTCAGTTGATTAATTTTCATTAGAAATTGATATTTGTTAATTCAACCGATTGTAACAATTGATATTCAATAGTAGCAACAACAATTAATATCAATTGTTTTTGTCTCTCTCTCTCTTGACCATTTATTGTGTAGTTATGGTCATCTCAATATTGGCCTTGGATTGGCGGACATGTTGACCAAACATGGACACAAGCCAATTTTTGCATTGAACAAAAAGTGGGCTCCGTCTGCTGAGGCTCGAGGGTACGAGACACGCATACTGGATGCCAATGTGATCGAGGAAGCGGAAGCCGATCAAGCAGCTCGACAAATGGCCGTACTTGATTTACTCGCTTCATCGCTAAGTGAACCAACCATTGAACAGACAACCTGGATGTCCGGTAAAGAGACCATTTTGTACGAAGATCATATGAGGATCGATGCTGGTCTCGAATCCCTACTATCTACCGGTGAGCATTTTGACCTTCTCATTGTGGCCACACTGGTTGCGATTCCCTCAGCAGAGACAAGCGGAATCCCTTGGGTTTACTTTCACACTCCATCACCACACATCTTATATGGAACCCAAATTACCCCACCCTTTTCGGGTTACCCATTAGACACACCGAAGGATATTTGTCAACAATATTGGGATCGATATTATAGTGAACGGGCCATGGGAGATGCGATTTACAATTCATACTTTGCAAGTCGAGGTGTTGGTAAGGTCAATGTCGGCTACTTCCAGCGAGAATCGCCTTATCTTAACATATACGCTTATCCTAAAGAATTGGACTATCGGGATGTGGCCACTTTACCTAAACACTATTTTCGAATGGACAATGCGATCCGTGAAAACGACGCTTTGGTCACTAAGATACCCGATGAGTTCCTTTCCCGACCAGGTAAACTGATCTATGTTTCTCTTGGTTCCTGGTTTTCCGGAATGACCGATGTCATGGTCAATCTAATCTCCATCCTATCCAAATCTCCACATAAATTTATCGTCTCAAAAGGTCCAAATGCTGATAAAATTGTTCTTCATAAAAATATGTGGGGTGAACGTTTCGTCAATCAATTGTCCATCTTACCTTTAGTTGACCTGGTCATCACCCACGGCGGGAACAATACAATTGTTGAATGTCTTCATAACGGTAAACCGATGATCGTCCTTCCCTTTTTCATTGACCAGCACGATAATGCCCAACGAATCGTTGAGAAACAATTAGGCCACAAGTTTGACCCCTTCCATTTAGACGGACCTGGTATCCTAAGGTCAATTGAGATGATTCTTAATGATGATCAAGTTTATTCACGATTAAAATCAATCGCTAATGATTTACAAAATTCATCCACTCGAGAGGAATTAGTTAAATTGTTGGAGATAATTGCTCGTGAGAAACGTTGTCCATTTGATATAACCAATGGTGACAAGGATAAAGATAAAAATTCAAATGAAATCAAATCTAATGGTGATGTCAAACAATCAACAATCAAATCAACTTGCGGATCAAGTTCACAATTAACTGAGAAATCAATTGATACTAATAATCAGCAGGCTAATTATTTCCAAAAAATTATCTCTTATTTTACTTCAACAACAATTTACTCACTTTTATTTAACACAAATGATCACAACGTTAAAAACTAATCAACAGATCAACAACCAGCAATCAACAATCAACTAATCAACTTGATTAACATTCAACAATTTTTATCAACTCTTTTTTTTTAATTATAATTGAAAAAAATTTTTCCTTCTGATTTTTGTTAACAACTAAATAGCCAATAATATAATTAACTAACCAGTAAATTAATGGCTAATTATTGTAATGATTTTATATAAAAGGTTACAATTAAAGACACAATTATTAACCGAATTAAATTGGCAACAATTTAATATCTTGATTTCCACTCAATGGATGGCGCTTGTGGCTCACTTTGGATAACTAAATTAAGTTGATTCAATTTTCATCTTTTAATCAAATTTACATAATCACATAATCAAATTACAATTTTGTAAATTATTACTTTTGATTTACTTAATTAACGAGATTAAATTGTAAAGCATAGGGAATGAGTATAGATAAACTTGTTAGGGGAACGAAAAGTTTTTTTCTCGAAATTCGAACTCAATGTTCATCGGCGATCGTTGATCAGATCAGATTTTCGATCAAATTATTTTTCTGATTGTTGTTATTTTATTATCGAGGTAAAGTTGAGTTGTTCAAGTGGATCTTTAGAAGATATCGAGCTGATCGAGTCTCGATTTTGTTGGCATTTGAAAAGTTCTAAAAAGATGAACCTCCGTCATGGAATAAATTTCCACAATAATTTACAGTTAAGGCGATAGTTTAATTGATAGAACAATGGATTTATCATCTTAATCATGTTCACTAATGATCATGGCAATGAGTTAATGGATAATAATGATCATTAATTTTTCTCATAAGAAAAAAAAACGAGGAAACAAAATCAAGTTGAAGTTTTTTCTCAACAAAACTTACAATTGATCGTTAATTGTTATGATGATGATTGCAGTTAATGGCTAATTATTTGCAATCAACAGTAAGTTAAACAAATGCAATTATGATTTAGCAATTGTCATTACAATTGAAAGATGAGAGCCCAAAAAGCATCAATTTAATGTAAATTTTATGCAAACAAAAAAAATGATCACTAATCATTTAGAATGAATCAATTTAAATCATTGATGACTGTTAATCATGATGCATGATAATTAACTCAATCTTAATTATCACTTGACGATTTAATTAACACTGTTAATATCAAAGGGTAAGTGTGGGTGAAAATTAAGCAAATGAGTTGATAATTAAGTTGAGATTAAGTTACTGGCGATTAAATAATGTTACCATGACTGGAATTGAGAGCAATTAACAAATTGTTTAAACGATAATCAAGAAAATACTAAAATACTAATCAATATAATTTAACAGTTAATTGAGTCCACAATGAAATCTACTGAAAAACCAACACAATTAATTATCTTGTTGTCATAAACTATTCAAATCAATTGATCATGACACAAATAAATTTACACCAACAATTTAATAATCATTATCACAATCAATTGATTAGGCTGATAATCAACTGAAATGAATGAACAGAATTGTGATTCTGAATAAAATCCAGACTTAAATTTCCCATTAATCTAAACAATAGTTAATCCAATGTTCAGTTATCCACTCCCATGATCCACCATTAAGTCAACACCATCAACATGATGATGATCTTTGCCTTAATCATCAAGGTAAACCTTAATTTGATCCTCATGAAAAAGCCTCAGGTATTAATGTCCAAAGTTTATCATCATCAGAATCTGATGAAAAGTAATATATTTATATATTGTTGAGTGAGAGATAATCATCCTCATCCTCATCTTCATCATTATCCTCATCAAACATCATCATGATGAAAGATAATAATTGAGATTAAAATGATTGGTAGTCTAACTGAATTAAATTAATTTCTCAGGTAACATAATAATAATCACCATGATAAAGATATAAAACTTTCACTAAACTATTAATTGTTCAACCTTAATTGTTAGCCCGTTAATACCACTTAATAACCAAGAATTTTAAATTGTTTATTAATTAAAATGTACAACGATTAGTAATTAGATTTAAATTGAGAGGAAAAATTTTTTTCTTTTTCTTTTACTTTTGCAACTTAATCTCTTGTTCATGGTAATCATTATTTTCATCTGAATAATCATCATGAACTTTTTGCATCTTCATCTTTTACCATCATCAAGCTTAATCAAATACTCTTTTGGGAAAATGATTTAAATACTTGATGATTAACATCAATAATAACAATCAACAATTAAAAGCAAAAAGCACACATATTGTAAAGGAAAAGCAAAAAGTTTCTGATCCTTTTTTAATCATCTCATTGATTATTATGATTCATTAATTGTTCATCATGCAAATGATTAAACATCACCATCACTTGAAAATGAATGAATTTTGCTTCATTACCTACAATTTACAATTAATCTTTACCATTTTGAGAAATAAATTGATTTAAGGTCAACAATCAACTTAATTGTCTTTCATTTTGAGCCAAACAAAACACAATTAATTGATTTCTTAAATTGATTGAAAGTTAAAGAGGAAAATCAATTGTAACTTTTGCTCCTAATTCAGCTACTATGCTAATTATGACCTTTAATTAGCTGGACAACCTTTTATCATTGTCACAATTAGAGTGATTAATTAACTGATTAGATTGGTTTTCATATATTATATTAATTGAAAATGTTGTGCAAATTTTTCCCATTGAATCAAGTAAAGTAAAACCTTGACCACAGGAAATTGACCCTTTACTTGATGATGAGGAGGATCAGAAGGATGCAACTAACAGTAACGGTCATCATGGTCATTATATTGAATCTTAAGGAATCTGAATTAATCTCAACTCATAAGGAAAACTGTGTGTATACTTATATATTCAATTATCTTCTGTCATCAGAGTACAATTAGTTTGATACATTGTCCTTTAAATCCCAAGTGGTAACCAATTAGAATGACCAGAGGTCATCGTCATTTTTATTCATCATGTCCGAAAAGATAATGATAACAATAACGTTAGAACTTTTTTTTCGACCAGTTTTTCTTTCACCTTATATAAAACCAATCATATCGATCAACAATCAAAATGATTGCCAAATAATAAGAGAGAATCATATTTATTATCATTTCTATTTCCGATACTGAATCAATTTCAATTGACAATTCAGTTCAAATGATGCGGAGGAAAATGAAGATGATCAGAAAAGGAAGATAAAAAAGACTCTTTCATTGGTATTGATCATTAATTACAGTTAATCAAGTAAAACATGTGAATCAAAACTAAACTAATTAACAAGTAAACTCAATCAAACGATAATTAGGTCAGAAATACCAAAGAACTGAATTCTAGAAAGAGACAGAATAAAAATAATCCATTAGAACTTTTCCTCGAAAAATTTTCTTTTTCTTTTCCAATTTCTTATTCGTATTTAGCCTCCAAGTGTATTATATTCATTATTAAATCATCACCAGACAATTAACCATTTACAATTATGATTAGTAGTGTGAATTCCAACACTTGACAATTTAGGTTAATCAATAAATTGTTGATTAGAACAAAAAAAGGAAAAATTCAATAATCGATTTTGTCTCTTTTATTGTTCCGGATTCCATTGATTTCCCTGAAAGTTTCCTGAACTTTTAAATGATTAATCACATTGACAGTTGACTGTTAATTAGCACCTTGATTATAAAGCAATAATAAAACTGATAAAGGCAAACTCTCGATAAAGTTAATTATAATCAACTGATCTGCAATTTATTAGCACAACATGATGATTAACAACACACCGTTAATATTAATAATGAAGGACTAATTTAATTAGCATTGCATAATCAAGATAATTATATCAGTTAGGACAGTAAATCTTTTAATATTGATTCACTTTTTTATCGCGGATCGCAAATGACTCACTAACAATTGCAATTCGGTTAGCTTACATAAACTGTATTAAACGGTTATTCATTAAAAAAACAACTTATACTGTGAACATATGGTAGAAGACTTAATGTATTAATATTGTTAAAGCCAAAAATAGGTAAAAGAGTAAAATAAAGGTGTTTAAGGTTAAAACTAACACAACGAGAACTCAATGGGGTTATAAATGTGAAAGATGGTTTATTATTAAGGATAAAGAATATGACCTAAGGGTAAAGTTTAAATCAAAGATCTTAAGAGAAGTGACCCAACTTTACCCTTAGGTCAAACTTACATTGTATAAAGAAATCGTCATTGGGTGCTAAACGCTTGTGATTGGCCTAACATTTTCCGGGTCTCTGGATGATTTTGGATGGTTTTGGATGTATAGTCTTCGCTTCGCTCAGACAATCATCTTTTTTATCTTTCGCAGGCTGGCAAGGTAAAAGCATTGCAGTGTAAAAAGGTTGTCTAATTTTTAGACGCAATTTGTCGGATGCACAAGGACAGCGAATGTTGTGTCAATCTTTAATGGAACAGGTAGAAGCGTATAAAAAGCTTGACAACGAAAACATTGCATTATCCCGATAAATCAGAGATCTAAATCTTAAAATAGCTTCAAATTTAAAAGCTTAAAATAAGAATGTTGATATTAATCAATTAACCAACCACCTTTAAATTCAGAAACAGAACTAACAGTCTAATTAAGCAGATAAGAGCGGTTTCAACACCAGGATATTCCTGTTCTTCAGACTGCTGATCGTTTAGTGGAAGTTGTTATTCCATTTGTTGAACCCGTTTCTCCTGCTATTTCGTCCTGTAATTTTTCAGTTGAAAATTACGACAACCACGTTAACGTTTAGACTCCAATAAGAGATTATTATGTGGAGACTTATCAGCAATATGTGACCATTCTTGAAACAGGATATTGCTCTATTGAAAATTACCACAAGTGACCGAGCACCGTCGATAGCGATGAAATTATTACAATTAAAACTATTGATCGATTAGTTTTGCAACTTTGTTCAATTCAATGGATTACGGTAAATATCATCCCCAACCACGATTAACTAACCAGGATCGTTTTCTCTGTGCAAAGTTTGGATGTAAAGTTTGTGCTAAAAGTGACTTCAAGTATAGTGACGATACGTTAGAATGTGAAGTTTTCCCAGCTCATGGGGAGAGAGTTATTCTACAGCTGATATTCCTTTATGATATTCCCATATTGCCATATGAATAAGGAGAGAGAAGAGAGAGAAGAGAGAGAAGAGAGAAGCTGATAGCTTGAAAGCCATCATTGATGCTCTTTTTGACTATGAGATGACTGATCTTTCATCTTTTCAATTCGAAGCATCATCATTGAATAACCAACCAACAGATCAAAACATTGGTGATCTTTTGAAACCCTCCGTCTGACGACACTCAAAAGATATCAATCTTGCTGGGTTGGAATCGATAATATCGCACATTTCTAGTTTAATCCCTGTGACCACGCATGATATGATTGAGGGCCAAAAGACTTTCAATCAATAATAGAACGTGTACGATCTTATTATATTAATTGTTTAATGTTCGAAAGGTGATAAGAAAAACGTTAAGTTCTTGTGAGAAATAGTGAACAATGAAGAAAGAGACTTAATGATAATGATGATTGATGCTGACCAAAGAAGTATCATCATGATGAGTATAATAGTTACATGAGAATGAAGTCCATTAGAAATTTTCTTCTGATCTGAAAGCTAATTGGTTACCATGTATTCACCTGATTTTCAGCCTTGAAATCCAATGAATGTTATCCTGCTAATTAAGCTTCCTATTACCTTAACATTTACCTTTTTTATCTTCATCATTCTGATCATGATGAAAACGACACAACAGCAGGGAGAGTATAAAAGTTCCAAGATGAATTACTTTTTCTTACCAATCCAGAACTTTTACCTTCTCCTTTTGTATTATTATCAATAAAAAGCATTAGGAAAGATGAAGAAGATGAAAAAAGAGAAAAGAATAGAAAATTACAATGTAATATTTTCCATCCTCATCCTGATCTTCATCATCATCTAACTCTTCCAGAAATCAAAGCATCATGTCTATGGTTGGTGAACAAAAGATGATTCCTCAATTGAACTTTGCTTTTTTTCGCCTCACTCTCTCTCTCTCTCTTTCTGAATCTCATTGCAATCTAATCACCATTGATTGTTATTAGTTTCTTGTATTTGAAACGTTAATTTGTATCTTCACTTGATGAAGATGAGAAATGATGAACATGATGATTTCCAGAAACGGTTTCCAAAAGATTCATCATCAATAGTGATGATGATCAGATCAATATGGAGAATGCAATCACTGAGTAATCTAGATAATAGACATACTCATCAAGCTAATCATAATCGTCCGAAGGTTTTATCATGATAAATTCATGATGACCAATGAAAATTCAACATTTCTATTGGCTACTTTATCTAATCATACATTACCAGTTCATCGGAATGATTATTATTATTATTATTATTATTCCCTTTGAATTATGATGCGAAAACTAATATGATGTTGGTGGACCAGAAACGATTCAGATTCAGTTGTGAATTCAGTTTTATATATGTAACCATGAAACTGATTATGGTCATGGTGATTTTAATGTCAGAACTCATTGAGTGAAAATAGTACCATGGATAGATAGAGATGGAAAAAAAATATATAAACTGAAGGAAAAAAAGAGATAAAATTTACATAGACATTCATTGAATTGATGAGCATTTAGATTGATTCAGATAAAGTTGATGCTATTTCCCTGAGAACATCAATGAACCAAACAATTGGATTTACCCTGTAAACAGTTATCCTGGTTCATTACCTTGAAACTTTTATACATTCATTTTTCAACAATTACATGAATCATTTGATCAGTTTGCTATTATGATTATCAAAAGAATCAAGGGAGAAAAACAAGAAAAAAAAATTCCATCATGAAAATAAAATATCTCTCTGTTCATAAATATCAATGGGTCTGAATCTCATGAATACCCATTGAATGAAGTCTCTGTTTTCTTTCATTGTAAAAACTATGTAACAATTAGTAAACTAACCTACAAGTTTTACAACAATCAACTGATCCTGATAATCATGATACTCATGAAAAATGAATTCAACTGAAAGTAATTCATTCATTGTTAATACTTTTTCAAAGGAAATATAAAACAAATGAAATCTAATGAGTCCTTGGAAACTTTTTAACAAACAATTAGAAACCAGAAGTATAAATAAATTGTAACAATTAACATGATAATAACAATGAAATTTTGGATACAATAGGAATGGGATTTATTCAGATCCAGAGACACATGATGAATATAAAGTTTACCATGATAAAAGAAGTGTAAAAACTTTTATAGTTACTTTTATATCCCCAAGAAAATCAACCTAACAATCAATTGATCAACACCTAATGATGATGATGATATAAAGAGGGATGAAAATTAACAACAATTCAATTTTAAATTGTAATAATCATGAAGAAGATGATGATACAATTGAATGAAAGTTCAATTGGATGGAAACTGTAAAAAGTAATAGTAAACCAATTGAAGAGCAAGAGAAAAAAAAACGAAAATAAAATGAGGCTTAACTGTTATTGTGAACATTTTCATTGGAAAACTCAATGAGATGATGAGAAGCCGAGGAAAAGGAGGAAAAGGAGGAAGTGGGTGGAAGATGAGGGTGGATGATGAAAGCTTTCAACTGTTATTCTATTTTATTTATTTTCTCTCTTTTTTTGTTCTCTTCTCTTTTTTATTCTCTCTCATTGGATCAACATTGGACAACAGGGAATCAGTTGGAAGCCAATATAACATTTTCGCTCAGAATTTACTATTAAACTTTATCTTCATCTCTCTCTCTCTCTCTCTCTCTCTCTCTCTGGCTCTCTGAGTCTCTTTTGTCTCTCTCGATCTCCATCTTTATCTCTATCTCTATCTCTTCCTTTTCTTCATCATCATCACCTTCTTCATCTGTTTGTTTTCCTTTTGATTTATGTTGAGAATAAATCTACGATTCGATTTAATTTCCATTCGTTTCGCTTCGTTTCGATTTACCATTGAAATTGTCGCTCCGAAAATCTTTTCAAAGACAAAGTTTCTTTTTCCCTTTAATGGAAAACTTCATTAACTTGATGATTTTCTCTTCTCATCTTCATCTTTACGATGATGTTGATGATTATTGGAAGATTTTTAATAAGGAACAAGTAGCTAATACAATCATCATGAATCGATACATAGTCGAGTCAGATGAAAGAGACTCATCTTCATCATCGTCATCATCATTATTGGAACCATTGAAATCATCGATTAGTTGAACAATGAAAAAGTAATCATGTTAACAGTCCAAGAAAATGGATCAATTTGTGCTTCTATTATTATCATCATGTTCATCATGGTGAAGATATTAGTAAGAAAACATTATCAACAAATGGAAACCTCAAAAAAATAGATTGTTGTTGTTTGTTGATCAACTGATGATGATGATGATGATGAGCATCATGAAGGAAATCATTTTTTAGACATTTATCTTTATCTCAATTCTGAACAAACAGATATTCCCATGAATATTTCTATCCCATGGCTACATGATGAGTAGATTCTTTATTCTCAGCAATTTGGATGATGAAGAAAAGATGAAGAACCTTAGAGAAATGATCGATTTTTTGTTCTCTCTCATTCATCTTTAGAACTTTTTTTTTGTTCTTTCTTTTTTATTTCTCATCATCATGACCGTCATGAAATCAAGCCTTCAATCAATTGCAATTTGGTGAATGAAAAAAACTCCATTGAATTAAATTGAGTAAACGATGTTGTTGTTAATTGTTGTCTTGTTTTTTTTTCATTCTTTAATTGTGAAAAATAAACTTACAAAGATTCAGAGATTTACAATTGGCAATTGATATAATTATCTTCGAGTAGTAAATAATATATATTATGGATTATTCCCTTCATGGAAACTTCAACTTTCGGATAGGTTTTACAGGGAAGAAAAAAAATATTCTCATTGAGATTAACGATCGAAATTGAAAATTAGATGATGACGTTAATGAAGATGATGATGAGTATATATTAAAATGATCGTATCATTTAGGGTAAATTGTTACACCAATTTGGTAAATTTGGACGGATCAAAATTCTGGAATCTCCATTTCTGGTTCAGATTATCGGATGAACAAGGTCTCATCCATAGTTTTTCCCGTTTGGGTGACATTTCAAGGCACTTTCCAGAGCTTCCATGTTTGATTTGATTATTCTGAAATTGATTGAAAGATAAACGATTAAATTTAAATGGAAAATAGTTGATGACCAGTTCCGCTGTTAATGGTCAGTTAATGTTTCCAACTTACCTCATCATCGTATATCCAAAGTTGGTTACCTTTGGCTCCATGACAAGGATAAAGGACAACGTCTTTACCAGCGTAATCGAGGCAGGCCTCGTCTCGACGGATCTCACCCTCTTTAGATAGTAGGAAATACTGTTCAAGGTTGAAGGTCAAAGAATCGCCAAAGATTGAAGGTTAGGACAAAATGAAAGAAAGAATGAAATAACAAGATTAGAACTTTTTTTTTCTTCAACATTGAAATCTTATTGGAATCAATTTCAGCAGAAAAATATTCCAATTCCCTGAGTTTTTTTCCATATGCTCAATAATAATAATCGCCTACAGGCAAACTATTGTTATTGTTGTTGTCTCTTTTGCTACTAATCTCAATCATCTTATCCCACTCTCTCTCTCTCTCTCTCTCTCCTCTGTTTCTATCAAAATCCACCCTGAATGCCACTTTGGTGTTGCAAAAACAACAAGAAAAGTTCATGTGACTATTGAGTATTGTTAGATTTTCATTGTGCCCTTAGGGTGAATCAAGTTGATGTAAAACTCTTACAGGAAGTGGATTAAATTTCATTAAATTTTAATTAGTTTATTATTGATTTTACCTGATTGCCTCCTTGACTATGACAAGGATAAAGGCCCACTGGTTTATGATAATCTTGTTTACGTGCTGGTGAATCAAGGCACATCTTGGATGATACATCACCTCCCATGTTACGAACCTGAATTCATCAAGAAAAAAGGAAAAATAAAATGAATTAATCTCTGTCTTAATCTATTGCAAAGGGGGGTAACAAAATAATAGATAATATTATCGGTAATTTCAACAATTAATAATAGTAATGATTACTATCAACATCATGGCCAAGAATAAGTTTTGAAAATGATGAATTAAATTGATTGTTATTATTATTATTACATAAAAGGTGATCATTAATTTAGAGGTGATTGATGAATTCGGATAGTTTCAAGTACCCACTGGTGTTTTAGATTTATAATATATGTTCATATGAAGATTATTCTCAGAAAGAGATACGATGAGAGATGAAGGTGAAAGGTAAATAGAAAGAATCGAAATGAACTTACCTCCCCTGAAGCAACAGCTTCACCGGGTATAAATAACTCAGGATAAACGTTCTTGACATACCATTCAAATGATTTACAGTTCAACTCTTTCCTGAGCTTCTTACGGCCAGTAACATCACCATAATCGCCCTGAGGGTAAATTAAACAATATGGATGAAACAAGATGAATGATAAAGTGAAAATGGTGAGGATGAGGATGGAAAGAGAAGGAAAAGAAAACAAAGATCAGGTTGATGAAATTTCTTCCTGAACTTTTTCACTTTTCAATAGATCACGTGGAATAGAAAATCAATTTCATGATCAATTCAGTTGTAATTCTGATCAAGTGTTGGAAAATTTTCGAAAAATTCTTTGGATATCTAAGGATAAATAATACGAATTATCTTCTACCTAGAAAAAGACTATAAGTTCTGATAAAGGAACAAAAATTCTGCTGAAAATTTTGAATCTCTTGATGATTCTGAAGAAGAAAATCAAAGACAATCAAGGTTAAAATTCAGGTAAATAAGATGAACTTTAGAGGGAATTCTGAAAATCATGTGAACCAGAATTTAAATGATTATCAAGGAAAAAAAGAAACAAAATGTTAAAATCATTTGTTTCGAAAGAAAAAGAAGAGAAAAGTCAACATGAAGATGGAATAGACAAATGAAAAGTCATTGGAAGAACTTTTTTTACATCTTCGATGTGTTTTCGAGAAAAACAAAGTTCAGAACAAAATATCGAGCATAATAACATGAGTAACTATCATGATAATACTATTAGTCGATTCTCAATAATCTACTGAATAGTAACAACAACAACTTATCATCATGATTTATGATATTCAAGGTATTTGAACCTGAAGAATAAGAGAGAGAGAGAGAGAGAGAGAGAGAGAGAGAGAGAAGAAAATTATTCCAATGATATTATTCATATTCCATTGTTTTCTATCTCAATTTTTTTTTCTTCTCTTTTCCCTATTCGAACTTTTCGAAAATGTAAATCATTATTATTATAAATATATAAATGTATTAATATCTTATTTTTTTCCTCGTCTACATATTAGATTTACTGAACATCATCATGTTGATTCCCGGGGAGGGTTGATACTCAGTAGTATATCCAAGTAAGTGGAGGAAGAGGGTTGATAACATGATGAAAATTTGCTGAATTTTTAACATTAAGGGAGACCAAAGTTTCCGTATGATTATCATGTATTAATATTGAAATTGATTCAATGATGATGACAAAAAAAACAAAAGAATATGTTGACTGATGATATTGGAATGATATTTATATGACTTATTGTCATTCTGAAAAATATGATATGGAAACTGAAACAGAGAAAAGCAAAAAAAAAGTAGTAACTACAAATGTCTGAGCTAAATGCTTAAATTGGGATGAAGAAGATGATAAATTATATAATATTATCTCCATGAAGAGAGAGAGAGAGAGAGAGAGAGCTCATTGTTCATTTCATAATAGCATAATATCATATTGATGATGAGAGGGTGGGAGAGGGAAGAGGAAGGTGGAAAAAAGAGAAAAAAATTCAAAGATAATATAATAACGAGAAGACAACAAGAAGATGAAAATTGTTACAGCATCAATGTTGATACATAATAAAGTCAAGTGTTGTTAGATGATGATGATGATGATGATGAGGGTGGGATGATAATAATGATGATGAAAATGCTATTGGCAAATAAGTTAACTCAACTATTGGGAGTTGAGAATGGTGATAGTATTAAATATATAAGAATGTTGTTGTTTAGAAGGATTCTGATAATTCCTGATGATGATGATGAACATGAGGATGCTAAGAATAAAGAATAAAAAAAGTATCTAGGGAGAATGTAGAATAGAACTTGAAAGAATAATAAGAACAAGTTCTCATGAGTGGGTGGTGGAAGATTGCTAAAGATTGACAGTATCTCTAGAGCAGATTCTGTGTAAAGTGAGCATAATCATCAATCGATCATGGAGACGAGGGAAGATAAGAAAAAGATGAGAAGAGAGAGAGAGACGAAATAAGTATTTATCATCCATCAAGTTTCATCTTCATCATCACTGAGAATCGAGGGATAATATTTCAAATTAGAAAAAAGTTCACTTGATGATGGCGAAAACTTAATCTTCCATTTTTTTCATTTTCTAATAATTTAATAGAAATATTTTCTTCCAATAATAATATGATAATTATCACCATGTAAATTTGAAACATGATAATTTTATCACCACAGAAACTTGAGTTATAATCAATCAGTTGAGGTTGATCAATGTTTGAATTTTTATCAACATTTGAATCAACATTTACAGTTAATCCTCAGAGGAACAATAATTTTCTCAATCCCAACTCTATCCTCAAGTTGTTTCTCCATGTATATTATCACCATGGGATGAATCAGAATCTTTATCTTTATCACTAAAATATTATCGACAAGGGATAAATCTTTTGAGATACTTTCTGGTTACTTGTTTAACGATAGAGACTCAAGATTCTGAGTTTTGACGATTAGAGGGATAACCTTTTTTTTTCATTATTTCCATGAAATCAAATCTTCAGCTTCATTGAAACTTGATGAGGCTTCAAAATCCTCTCCATATCAATGGTGTTTTTCTGATGATATTAACTACGAATATACTTTAAGTGGGAGTGATTATATTCTAAATGATATCATGATAGTAGATATATTTATAACTAATGGTAGATAGAAGATGTTAACTTACCAGATTATTTCCAATTCTCTGGTAGTAATATTTTTTATAATCATCCATCCAAACTTCAGCTAATCGAATTGAATTTCGAACTAGAACATTTACTCCAGTTTTCCATTTATATGGACTTCGACTTCGAAATATGTGACCAACATGAGAACATGGGATTATCTCTAAAACTCCACCACACATCCAGGTCTATTTAAGAGAGAGAGAGAGAGAGAGATCAAGAATTATCATCGAAATCAGATAATCACCCAATCCATTTTCAGAGACAAAGGAGAGAAAGAGGAAAAAAAGTTAATAAAAGAAAAAAGATTTCGAAAAAAAAATCTCATCATGAAAAAAGTTCTGAATCATCATTCACATGAGATGATAATCCGATGACATTTACAGTCAAGTTAGAGGATGAAAACAATGAATCAATTCTGGTGTGTAGATGATAAGAAGAGAGAGAGAGAGAATTTTTTTCGTTTTTTATCCGGATTAAGTTTCTATCTAGAAGATCAGAACTTTTTTATCCGCTTTCCATGATATGAAATATTTATATCTCATCTCATTCTCTCTTTGACTTAGCTTGTTAATTTTTCATCTTCCTCTTTGGGAATTGATTGTTGATTCAATTATTCATGATGACGAGATTAATTGATTTTACTTTTTGTTTACATTGAAACTTAATTAGCAATTTAAATCAACCTTCAATTTACCTTGAATGATAATTCCAAATTTTCACCACCCCAAATATCAAATCCACTATCATAAGTACCAAGTCGATCAAAAAACTCTTTACTTATGGAAAACAGTCCACCCGCCATGGTAGGTGATCTATTGTAGTAGATGAATGAAAGAAAACACCAACAATAGAATTAGTTAATTGTTTACATTTCTATTGTTAAGTTGATTGAGCTTTTACCTGACTGGATCAGTTGAATGACCTCGGCGTTTCTTTTCCCGATCAGGAATCGCGTGCCAGTTGAACTGAAGATTCCAGTCAAATCCACCGACATTGATTGAATTTGCATCTCCCCGGTAATGGTATTCAAAAGTTTTATCGTTGATCACATCGATCACTGGACAGACGACCGTTGATGGATCACGGGCTATCCTATCAAGAAGTGGCTCTAACCAGCCTTCGGTACACTCACAGTGGGAATCAAGGTAGGTAAGGACGGGAGCGGTCGCAACATTGGCACCTAATAATCGAGCTCGAATGAGCCCTTCTCGTTGTTTGGCTCGGATAACTTTCACCTTTCCCAGTGGTTTAACATATTCTTCCAGGGGTTTCATTAGATCCTCTTCATGGTTAATTGTCAGGAAGATAATTGCAAACAAACGAGATCACAAATCATCAAGTTAGTTGAGATCGAAAATAATTTTCAAGGTAAAAATAAACAAAGAAATTAATTAGTCTTTTCTTCTGGTTAATCAAGTTTCCAATTAGTTTGCTTATGACTTTAAGAACTTTTTTCTCCTCCTCAATTGTTGTTATATATAAGGTTGGAACTTATCTTCATCTAAATGAGAAACATTCATAGATTAATCTGTTACTCAGAGAATTAAGGAAAATAAGAAAAATCGAAACATGTTAAACTTATCGAACTCAATTGTCAGAACTTTTCTTTTTCTATTACCATCATGTCACTCAATTAGCACCTGAAACTAATCACATAAAGATTACCACATGAATTATTATTATCATTATAAAAAGATAATTGCAGTTCCGAGAAAAGATATTTATTCATTGAGAAGAGAGAGAGAGAAAAAAGTTCTAATAGTTCTAATAACATGTTCGATGTGTATATGTCACCCTTATGATTATTTTCCCTCTACCGACATCTAATCTCAAGGTACAACCCCCTCAAGGCTTCAAGAACTTGTCATTATCAGAACATGATGATAATCATCATCGTATTAGATGATAAGTAAACATATTTCATGAGATTTTCAGTTCTGGTGACATGGCTAATGGGAATTATTAGCCAGCCTCTTAAATGTTAATTCAATCAACAAGCAGAAAAAAAGTTCTGATACTACTGAGAAATTCTAGAACTGTAGCATCATGATGAATGTAAATTCTAACGATAGTAAACAGAAAATTCTGTCAGAACTTTGAAGGAAAAATTCTTTGATGAAACTTGGGAATCGAGAGGAAAAATTCCAAGACAGGATTAGTTTTAAATTTTAGAATTTCAATTTCTCATTTCTTCACCTTCTCATTGACTATGGAATTTGATAAATTCTCACCTCTATCGGAAAAATCATCCACCAATATTATCTCTTTGATCAGATTTTCAGGGGATCGATCTAGAACCGAGTGAACAGTTCGTAGCAGAACAGACCAGGCTTCGTTATGGAAACATATTATGACACTGGTTGGTGGTAGATCTTGATGATATTTCTCAGCTTTACACCTGAAAGAATCAGAATCAGAATAATTAGTGATCGAAGGTAATTGATGGAATTTAATTTCAATGGAAAAGTTCAAATGAAATTCTGAAAGGATTCCACTTTTTGTGCTCATTAAATCCTCAAATTCAATTGAATCATGAATGTTATCAAATTATCATCATTATTATCGCAAATGTAATAATATTAACACAAGTTAAGAGACAAATGTAAACAGAGAAACAAGAAATTCTGAATAATCTAATCAGAACTGAGTTCATGGTGATAATACTTTCATGTATATATGTACATCCAATTACAATGTTGATGTAATTCTGTTGTATGATTGATATTCAGTTGAAAAGAATTCAACTTTCATCATTCACAATCATGATAATTTGGGAACTTTTTCCTCAAAGTTGAGTAAATATCATGGCTACCAATATACTATTAGAAAGTTTAGATCAGTCATGATTGAACTGATTGAAACTTTTCCCTGTAAATCATCACGGGACTGAAAATGCTATGAAAGTTTTGAAGGGAAATTTCAATTTTTATCCCAAAAACTGTAAATGTAAAAATTTCCAAGAATTATTATTATTTTAGTTATTTTGTGTTTTCTGTTGCTTTTATTACTCAAATTACCATGGGAATTGAGCTCATGAATCTTTGGGGAGAAAGAAAATCACAAATTCTGTTTGATATAAATTATGACGGAGAAAAAGTTCTGATTCAATATCGATAATGGGAAATTGTTCAAGTTGACACAATGATCATCGGAATGATTGAGATTCTGATCTGTAGCCAGAACTTTTATCATTGTAAGATATCACGGGGATCAAACATTACAATTTTAACTCAAGATCTGGTATCGGGTGAACACTTTATTGAATCAAATACTAAATAGTTAAACGGAAGTAGTTAAAGTACAAAAGTCGGAAGTTAAATACTGAAAGGAGGGAACTGGGTTAAGATGATTAGGGGAAATTAATTAAACATGAATTTAAAGTTGAAACACAAATTAAATGAGTAAGCTTTTAGTAGCTAGTACTTCTGTGTGTGCTTGTTGAAGAGTCTTCGACAAGCACCTTAAATACTAATTGTTGTGGGTTAATCCCTTGAGAGAAATGATGTAATCAGAGATAAGAGGGGTTGTTAACTAATTACATCTAAACAAAGCTAATCCCCTTACAGAGCCCCGGGGTTGCCGTTGTCCCAGTGTGTCAAAAGGTAATGGAGCGAGAAGATTCATCATGTTCAGGGATGTTGAAGATTCTTCGACTCCACGTATGCCACTCGGTCAACGTCGTCCTTTGCTTTGTTTCGGAATTAGAGCAAATGATCTTGGTTTCGGTTTCCATTTATTGAATAATCTCATAGGAACTTCACTATAAGGTGGACGGAGTTGGACACCTTCAGTATCTAATAATCCATATGGATCCCATGATTTGCTTAGTCCCCATTCTTTCTTTGGTCTTTTCCTTATATCGATTGGCCAGTCTTTTATTTCGTTGAGAACTTCTTTTTGTAATAACGACATTTGAGCATTGAGCGGGTAACGGATATGAGGCCATGGATTCATCCATTCCAATCCTTGAGTTGCTTCTTGATGAACTTTTTCAAATTCCTTGTAATCGATGATGTAGGCATACAAAGTGAATCCCGCATCGACAATTGGAGAGTGAGCGTTTTCTTGAATTATTGTTCCAAACAATAGAAAGGTTATAAAGCGAAGGCCAAGTTGTTCTACATTATAACGACAACTATAATAATAGTTAATATCTCGAATACGAGGTCGAATGAAATTCCAATCATCAATAGTAAATCCCATAGACATGAAGTCAAGTAATCCACCAGCGACAATTATGCGATCGTATTCCATAAGAATAGGAATCAATTGTTTTCTTACGATTCCAAACGCTTCAGCTCCTTTAACTATATCCCATGTAAGACCATGACACTCGGTTCTCAGATCAACAATAGAGTCAACTGGATATCTAATGATTTTGTTAAATCTAATGTTAGCTTCGATATCAACGAGGCCAATCCAAACTGGAAGATCTTTTTCTCCACTCATTGTTTTGATCTTAGCTTTCTCAATGTCTAAGGCACAAATTTTAACGTTTTCCTCTCTGAGCTCTTTCCAAGCTTCGAAGATTCTTCGAGCATGAGGCTTATCAGAAGTTCTGAGAATCTCACTGTTAGAGTGTTTAGCCAAAAATGAACGAATCTTTTCTCGGCGGTTAACATCTTGTCTCGATAATTTACCAGCGGCTTTGAGTTTCTCTTCTTTCTTTTTACGTTTAATTTTCTTTTCTTTTTCTTCTTGAGACAAATTTGGATCCAGAATGATGTCGATGATTGAAACTTTTGGTTTATTCGGACGAGCACCAGTTGGTTCAAGTTCTTTCTTAAGTTCCAAATTGATAGATGAACTTCTCTTGTTATTAATTGTTTCATTTGTTGGCCAATTTCTACTGATTTCATCCCAATCAACTTCTACCACAGTAGCTTTAGCAGCAATCGCAGCTTCAGAATTCCAATCAGTCGGTTGTTCGACAGAAAATGATGAAATATCTTTTGGCTTATATCTCTCTTCGACTAAACCAGTTGAAGTTGATGGAATCGGAGAAGACTCTTCTCTAATTGGCTTCTCAGCTTCTTTAGCTTTTAAACTCAATTTTTCATTATCTTTTTCTTGTGATGAATTCGGCGTAGAGTCTACATCCGAATAGATGAGTTGTTCTGGTAAACACCACAATGGCTTGACAACTTGAGCTGAAGATTCTTTAGCTCTTGTTGGTGGTCGAACCAATATAACTTCTCTCTTTGGTAATCCAATAGTAATCTTCTTTTGGATCTTTGGATTGTTTTTATCACAAATAATTTTCTCAGCTCGGAAATCGACTGATTCCAAACTCTGAGGATCTTGAATCATGAGGCGAACATCAAAGGCTTTATTAAACTCTTGTAGAGTCTTGAAATTTCCTTCCAATTGTCTTCCTTGTCTTGGAGATCCTTCTTTAGTTTCGAACCACAGGTAATTCAAAATCGAGTTGACCTTAAATTCGTCTCCTTGACAATGTTGAAGATGCTTCAACGTTTCATAATATTTTCCAGCGAATGTACAAGCGTAGATTCTACACTTAACTTTCAGCTCACTAAACATTTTTATCTCATCACTATTGAGTCTTATTAATTTGGTTAAACGTGATGATGGACAAGAGACACAAAGAAAATTTTTCCCTTCGATTTGTTCCAAATTTGGTTGATTGTTGCCTCGAAATTTCTGGTCGATTGAATGTAGTAGAACAGCACAACAGCGGCAGTAATATTCCTTACATGAATCACATTTGAAAGGGTGAACAGCAACATGGTTACAAAATTTGCAAGAAATTTCAATAAGATATTGGTTGTTGTCGTTCCTTGGTTTCTCATCTAGAGTTAATCCTGGTCTGTAATCACTGAGCGGAATTGTAGCTCGATCAACACCGAAGGTTTTCGTTAATTTATCTTTCACCAGAATGGATAGAGATTCTCTGTCCACTTTCCAGAATGATCCAAATGTTTCCATTTTTGGAGACGATCACAAGAACAAAAGAAATGGAGATTCTCTATTTCTAATGGATGGTTGAATTGATGATGAGAACGATTTAATTAACTTGTTGATTTTCACGTTGACAATTGATTTCGATTGAAGATGGAGATTCTCCGTCGTTCAATTAACACAAAAACACATAAAATTATGATGAATAATTAATTAAAATTAGATTTTCACCACGATGAATTAATTATGGTCACCAATTAACTTTAACTGATTGAATGATTAATGGGTTGTCGCCAAGGTTATGGTTGATTGGCTTTATCTATATTGGTGACACCTAGTGGTAGCTTATTTTCATTAATTTGCTTTTTGTTTCAATTTCGAATTAATTAATTAATTATTTGAGAATTGGGAAATTTAAACTTTGGTTTTCTTTTTTTTTTGTAATTTGAATTAATTTTAAGAATTTAATTTTTATTTAATTAGATGGTCGGAGATTCTCCGGCTAATCTGAAGATACCTAACCTAACCTAACCCGTTAGAAGTTAGTATCTGACCCCAAATATATAGATTAAATTTGATGATTTAAAGATGATCTGGTCCTTCTCTCCATTTGATGAGTAGGCCAAATTCTTTTCTCTCTTTTCTTTCTTTGCTTTTTAGCAATTTCAACACTTTCTTCTTCCTCTTCTGTTGTAACATCATAATTATCAATGGCTTCAGGAAATGACGACGATTCTTCATCATTACCTTTTCCATTGTTCTCACATTGAATCTCTTCACCTTTATTTGATGAAGATTCTTCATCAGAACACTTATCACAATTTGAATTATCATTCAAAACAGTTGATTGTTTATCAGAGTCATTCAATTTCTTTCTTGTTTTCACTTGGCTTTTATGGATTGAAGATTCTTCATCCGTTTTAGCGTCATGAAAATCATCATCACTTTCAGTTGATTCACAAATAATTTCATTTTGACTAGATTTTCTCTTTTCATTCATTTCTTTACGGTGTTTCACTTTCAATGAAGAAGATTCTTCTTCATCTAGAGTTGATTCATTCACAATTTCATTTGTCTTTACATTCACAACACTTTGTTGCTGAAATTCGGGAGAAGATTCTTCTTCCGTTTTCCTTGTTTCTTCAGGATGTTTGTCCATGATTTGTTTTAGATTGGATGGAGGATCACAAATTATCTTCTTCATCCTATCGTAATTAACAATTTTCACTTTTCCATTGAATAAACAAACTAATTTAGCGGTGGATTCATAAGGTTGGACAACAATATATCGACCACTGAATTTTTTCTTTCTCATTGCCGGACCAGTTGTATATGGAATAGGCTTAACTTTCACAATATCACCACGAATGTAATCAGGTTCTTTCATTGTTTTATTTCTTTCATAAGCTGATTTCTCAGAATTTTCTTCCAATTTTTCTTTCACTTCTTTTCGAACTTCTTTAATGTCCTCCTCTTTGT